TCAGGACACAAACCAAGCTTGTAGACTGAGTCCTGCCTTACTAACACAACTGCCACCCATCCTCCCTCATTAACATCATAGAGGCAGGATTTACAACATTTAGGAAAATCACACAATACCAGGAATCATGGCCCAGCCAAATTGATACACACATTTTTGGGGGGACATAATTCAATCCATGACACTCAGGATTCAAATTCAGGCAGTTTAAATTCAGAGCCTACTTGTTTAAGTATAATTTTTTGACCCGTGAAATGTCTAAGTTCTTGGTGAGTAGTTCTATATTCTGCTGAAATAATATGCATATTTATTCTTTAAGGTGGCTAAAATCAGTAAAACAGTACTGGAAACAGGCAGACAAGATTATGGAAGAAGAGTTTATTTCTAAAAAAAAGTCTGGCCAACGTTCCAACTCTCTCAAAGATAATTTGTGTATAAATCAATCATATGAAGTTAGACTTGGTAAGCTTGATATGCAAGTATAAGAATTTTTGCCTTACTTTAAAGTTATCTATATGCCTATCATTATATGTTCATCAATTTGGATATTCTTGCTCTTCATATTTAGTGATCTATGGAGAGAGATACAATGATTTAGAAAAGCATGTATGTTCAGTAAAACATGATGATGTCTCTTTTGATCATTATCATCCATGCGCCGCAGTGACGACAGATTATGTAAGTATAAACACATATTCGTCCTATTAGTGGAATTATTCGTGTGTATCACAATTGGAAAGTGGCCTAATTGTTCTTCAAAGAGTTGCAGCATACTTCCTTTACCACAGATAATCATAACCTGGGGTCAATGGGCGTCAAGGATGGCCTTCGTGAGAGGATTCAATCCCACTAACAATTGTCTGTGTGTACATTTTTCTGGGGAGAGGGTTCATAACTTTCATTAGGTCCTCCAAGTTGTCTGGGACATCCAGTGTTTAAGAACTAACTCTATAGACAGGAAGTCATGGAAAATTCTAACTTGGGTTCTTTGGTTACCTTATTCTTCTTCTTTATTTCCAGGTATTATCTCTCCCTGCCTAGCTTCTTCTTACATCTACTCCTGTCTTCCACTTCTCTGTGACTAACAGTGCAGTTACAACTCTGTGGACATCCCTTGTTCATGTCAGAATCTGATTGCCATCAAACGGTTTAAACAAGAAAGAGACACTTCTCCGTAACATGAAAATCTTGATAAATTTTTTCGTAGTGGATTGATAAGGTGGAGGTGGTAAGAGATCTCAGTTGGAGTCCTGGGTTCCGAATGTGGGAGGACTTATTAATTTCTCTGCCCATCTCTCCTCCTTTCCCATCCTACCCGCATGACTAAGAGATTTAGCTGGTCTTCTTTCCAGGCTCCTGCAACTTAATCACATTAAAAATTCTGCTACTCCATTAATTGTCCTAAAATACAGATGTAATCCCCTCTCTCTCTACTCAAAAGCCTTCTACTTTTCTGCATTGGAAACAAATAAATTTCCACCTTCTTAGCTTGGCATCCAAGGTCTTCTATAACCTGAACCAACACTCCTTTCTCGCTCAAACTCTTTATGTATCTTATCTGGATTGCCTCACGTCATATATTGTACTTGGACTGTTTCACCCTGATGGCAGACTCTAAACCTCCAGAGCCTCGTCTTTCATGCCTCTGGTAATAATGTCAGCCCCTCTTCAGAATTCTTTCTACGATCTGTCTTGATGTAATCTTCTTTTCTGAAAATACATAGTATGTTATCTGTATTTTTTTAAATGACACCAAATAGGTTACCCTGCTGTCATAATTTTTGTTTGCATGTCTTCTTTTTCTTACTAAATTGTAAACTCCTTCAAGAGAAAATCTTTACTTTTTTTTTTCTCTGGATTATCTCATAGCTAGTGCATAGTGCCTCGGACGTAAAAGCTGCTCAGTAAATATTTGTTGAATGACTACACAGAGCATTTAACTATGCAGCGAACACTTGCGAAGCGCTTAAATATGTATTTCTATTTAATCTTCACAATATCTTTCTAATAGATGCCATTGTTGTTGTGTGCCATGAAGTCGATTCTGACTCATAGTGACCCTATAGATACTATCTCTAATTTACAGATGAGGTAAGAGTGGGATTAAAAACAAACAAACAAACAAACAAAAAACCCCAAACCTGTTGCCACTAAGTTGATTCCAGCTCATAGCGACCCTATAGGACAGAGTAGAACTTCCCCATGGGGTTTTCAAGGAGCGGCTGGTGGATTCTGACTGCTGACCTTTTAGTTAGCAGCCAATCGCTTAACCCCTGAGCTGCATATATATGTTTCCTGGTTTACACAGTGGTTCAGTGCTCTGCTGCCAACTCAAAGGTCGGTGGTTCGAACCCACCAGCCACTGTCGGAGAAAGCTGTGGCAATCCGCTTCTGTAAAGATTACAGCCTTGGAAACCTTATAGGGCAGTTCTACTCTGTGCTTCAGGGTTGCCGTGAGTCAGAATTGACTCGAGGGCAGTGGGATATATGTGTGTGTGTAGTATATTTATATATAGCATTTTTTTATAGTTTCCTTAAAGTAAATAAATAAATAAACCTGTTGCCATCAAGTGGATTCCAACTTATAGCAACCCGGTAGTACAGAATAGAATTGCCCCATAGGTTTCCCGGGAACAGCTGGTAGATTTGAACTGCTGACCTTTGGGTTAGCAGCTGAGCTCTTAAACACTATGCCTCCGGGGCTTCAAAAAGGTTATCTTTAAGAATGTGAGTGCAGTGGCTTGGAGTACATGGGGAGATTGTCATTTTGGGCCATGTGACTTCCTTCTATTCTCAGTAGCTATTAATGGAACAACTGAAAAGTAACAGAATTACTACAGCGTGTTTGACCCCAGATGACTTCTGCATGGGCCTTGCTATTGTGTTAGAATTCTCAAGTCCTTATTATTTTATATCATGCATGGGGACAGGTACAGAGACTCATGCCTTTATAAATGTTTAGACAACTGTGGTTAAGTTTGTAAGGTGTGCATTTACACAAGACATCTCTTTGTACCCTTAAGGAAGCAATAACAAGAGCAAGTACCCGTTGCTGTCGAGTCGATTTCAGCTCATAGCGACCCTATAGTACAGAGTAGAATTGCCCCATAGGGTTTCCAAGGAGCAGCTGGTGGGTTCAAACTGCTGGCCTTTTGGTCAGCAGCCCAACGCTTAACCACTTTGCCACCAGGGCTCCACAAGAGCAAGTAGACCTATCCAGATGAGTAAATTATTCCTGTTCCAGTAGAGCATACATCAGATTAAATGGAAATTGCTCAGAAATGAGAAAAAAGCAGAACGAACTGGGGAAATACGAGAAGAATGAATGGGAACCATCTATCTTGATCTTTTCTTGTGTAACTTTCTCATGGAAATGGTTTCAGAAAGGAAGGTTGGAGCAGAACCAGTGAGCTGGCTTCAATCCAACTGTGGTGAGGGATCACCTCAATCCACGTGTGACTTTTTCCTTGCCAAACGGGAGGCTGTTTAGGCTTCATCTGGAATTACTCTACCGTATATGGACAGTTGCCCAAGCTGTCAGCACCAGGTAGTCTTGGAAAGAACTGCTGTCTGTCTTTCTCCACTCAGTTCACCACCTATGGCTTTTGGCTGAGTGTCTTGTATTTATGTATCGCAAAAACAGCATCATCGTATAATGCAATTGTGCTTATGAGTGAAGAGGTGGTACAAATTAATGATCTTTTCTCTTCTTTGCCATATTTCTCTGACCTAGGGCTCCGTATGATATACCTGATGTCGTGCAGAGGTGAACAATTGGGCTCATACACAGTTTTTAGCCGTAGAGTTGATAAAATGAACAAACAACAGCAGCAAAAAATGTTGCCATAGAGTCGATTTCGACTCATCGCAAGTCTGTAGGACCGAGTAGAACTGCCCCATAGGGTTTCCAAGGCTGTAAAATCTTTATGGAAGCCGACTGTCACGTCTTTCTCCTGTGGAGCGGCTGATGTATTTGAACCACTAACCTTTTGGTTAGCAGTCGATGGCTTAACCACTGCGCCACCAGGGCTCCTGAGAGTTGATAAACTAATAAAAAAAGAAAAATCCTGTAAGTTGACAATCAATCATCTTAATAGGTGGGATACTAACCAAGTGCCAGGCATTTTAATAGCATATCACATACATTATCTCATTTAATCCTCGTAACAGTCTGCGGTATTGAGATAATTTTACCCATTTTACAGGTGAGTAAACTAAGGTATCCATAAAAGGCTGGTAGACCCTTTTGAAATTACATCACTACGATTCCAGGGACCAAAATAGGAAAATCGCATTTGTAAGGTCCTGACAAATTCTAGAAAACTCAAATTACTTAAGTCAGGGATTGCTTCATATATAATCTTCACCTTCCAAGAAATATGTCCTTTCATATTTGTCCAAATGTAATCCTTGCCATCTAACTAGCTTTATAGATTCAATCTGAGAGATGTTGAAAGATGATTCGCATGTTTATGTTGCAAAAACCCAAAAATCAAATCACCTGCCATTGAGTTGATCCTAACTCATGGCAACCCCATGTGTGTCAGATAGAATGGTGCTACATAGGGTTTTCAATGGCTGAGTTTTCAGAAATAGATCTCCAGGCGTTTCTCCCTTGGAGCCTTGGTGGCACAGTGGTTAAGCGTTTGACTGCTAACCGAAAGATCAACAGTTCAAATCTGGGGCAGTTCTACTCTGTCGTATAGGGTCACTGTGAGTCAGAATTGACTCGATGGCAATGGGGTTTTTTTTCCCTTCCGTATGCTGCATAGCATAGTATAAAAAAAGGGATATTCTTTTGAATCTCATCGCAATCCTGAAAGACAGACAGTGCAAATATTGTCATTCCCATATTACAGATGAAAGAACCAAAACCCAGGGAGCTGATAATTAGAGCTGTAGTTAGAACTCCAACTTTACGGCGTTTTCCACTGCACCAAACATCATCTCTATTCTTTCCAAACTGTTTCATCTTTGGAGTGGCTCCTTTAGCCCGGTATTTCCAACCTTCCATGGACTATCAATGGCTGCTTTTAAACAAAAGACCCCATCTTTAAATAAGTTTGAGAAAAGCAGCATGCCATATCTCTTTCCTGGAGATTCACAGTGCACAATAACATAACAAAAACTTCAGACATCTTGAAATAAAGGTGTGTGTTTAGCTTGGATTAGCAGAATATTTTCTGTAGATTCCCCACCCTTTAAAAACATTGTTTAAGGGTCATGCTTTGGGAGATGTTATTCTAGTCCTTTTTCACACAATAGATTAGAAGTAGTCTATTTGCTGGAAGCCGAGTGAACGTAGAACATAAACTCTTTGAGGGCAGAATTTCTTTTTCTTGTGCCTGTACATTCAAAAGGCTTAAGACAGAGCTTGGCCAATAGCCTGGGTAGGCCTTGGGGAGAAGTGTCTTTGAGTACCCGGAGGTGGTCTGAGGGCCTTTGTCTTCATGAAGTTTACTAAGTGCTTATCTGGGATCTCTTGTGAACAAAGAGCTTTTTCCCTTTTTCCCTGGTTTAGTGCCAATAAAACCATAAAATCATCTTCATCTCTCAAGTTCAGTTTCCAAACTTGCTTGTCTAAGCTGAGTCTGTGCTATGAGTGTTCATATTTTCCAGCTGCCCTGTACTTTCAGCAAGCCTCTGAAGAAGTTTCATAGAGAAGTGTTAGTTTATTGCCTAGTACAAAAAGTCTAAGGAAATGATATAAAAACTTATTAGTGGCCTTTTGGGGTTTTTCTACTTCAGCGTGGTAGGGACACTTCTTGGTTAAAATCTGGTTAACAATTAGAGCCTTACTATCTCTGGGTGCATGGATAATGACTTCAGAAAAAGGTAAGACTAGAGGAAAGAGAAAGAAAAGTAAAAATTCCCATCTTGTTCATTTATGCATCAGTTTATTTATTCACAGATTGAAAAATACGGATTTCCTTGTGATCTTACCCTCTCACCTCGAGAAAGCATCCAACTTTATGACGTCATGGTTCAAGTCTGGAACACCTGGCCCAGAGCTCAGGTAAATATACAAATATATATTCACGGAAACGAACCTGCGTTAATGCTATTGAGGAAGATTTGGAAAAACTCTCTTAAGTACATTGATTCTCTAATTAGTTGAAGCTGGTCTTTTGAAATGATTTGGGTATTCTTTCTTTTTTTACAGACATTCTTCTCGACTTTTTTTGGTTACCTTCATATGGTGGAATAACTTATAATTCTTAAAATATATTTTTAAGAAATATGTATTTCAATATATAATATAATTTTATTAAAATATAATTCTTAAAAATGCATGTTTTTTCAGCTTCTGGTTCACTACACTTTAGTTCTTTTTGTATTTATAGTCCTCTACTCTCTCATCCTTCTTCCCCGTTTGTCGGTTTTCATCCTTTTCTTGACTTTGTTCTGTATTCGTTCCTTTGGAGAGTTCATCCATCATAATAGTTTTATGTATTAGAAGTTATGAGGAGGTAAAAAGATTTTCAACAGCCTCTGCGTTCAAGGAGTTTGCAAGTTGGTAGAGACATGTAAATTTAAATAGATTATTGTGGTTTTTTTTTTATGTAGGTTTTGTAATTTAATTTAATCTTGTGGTAATTTTTTTCAAGGAATTGGATCCAGAGAAATTCAGTCTTTTTAAGAATAAAGCGTTCATTAAAAAATTGGATGCTAGAAAATATGAAGAAATTCTAAAGGCAGAATTAACAAGCTGGGTGAAAAATGGCAATATAAGAAAGGTAATCTTCCTTCTTTTTTAGCAAGGTCTCTCTTGTTAACTGTTTGGCATTGCGTCATCTAGCCAGTATCAGTTTTTTAATGTTTTTCTTCCAATTTCCACTTTAGAAATTGAATTTGAACATGTTATCCAGCGAATCTGAGTTAAATAGAAAAAGAAGGAACCTGGTTCTGTCTCTTACTCCAGCCTAAGCTCGTTGCTGTTGAGTTGATTCTGACTCATAGATTCCGACTCATAAAAACGACCCTACAGGACAGAGGAGAGCTGCCCCATAGGGTTTCCAAGGAATGCCTGGTAGATTCAAACTGCTGACCTTTCGGTTAGCAGCCGAACTCTTAACCAGGGCGCCACCAGGGTGCCCACTAAAACACGTGCCACAGGCTTTTTATACCTTCACGTGATTATGATTAGTGCTTGTTGTAGAATCAGTGTTGTTGATGTTGCTTTCACATAAAAGGGACCGGCTCCAGTGTAATGAGAGCTGAGAAGCCTAGGTGTTACCTGAGGCACCACTCTAAGTAAGTTTTCGAAAAATAGAGAAATTTATGTAACAATAAGCAATTTCTGAAACTCATGTAAAGCGTGATAGAGGAGGAAATAGAAATATATCTGAAAGGGGTTTAGGCACATTTACAGATGATAGAGTCATAAGTGGTGTTAAACAAAACATTCTGATAAAGTTACTATTATAGAGTTTATTTGGGTTTTGAAAACATTCATGAATGGACAGCACAATCTCAGTGAGACTTGCTCCACCGGAAGGGGAAGAAAGCTGGGAGTTTTTATAAGAGACAGAAGGGAGGGAAAGTGAGAGAGAAAACAAAGCATCTTTCATATATTTTGACATACCATCAGGTCACGTACGAGTAGGACGTATAGAACGCACAAACATTTACACTTAGCTCTCCAAAAAGGGTTTCTTTAATGTCCGAAATTAAAACTTTTGAGCAAGCAGGCAGAAATGTGCATGTTGTACATACCAAATGAGCTCAGAGGAGATAGAAATTTCAGATTGGGGGGCTAGGGGGTGAGCACTGAGGTGGAATCATCCATGCTTCTTTCACTCTTTAAAAGAGCCACTGTAACTCCATCAAGTCTGGAGAACAAAGTATAAATCCCCCAGTGGCTGCTCTGAGACACTAGATATCCTTGAATATTAAGATTTACGGACTTCTGGTTCTGGACTGATGATTGAACATTATGTTTACTTGCCCTTTTCACTGTAATGAAAGAAGAAATAAAGGTAAGGATGGTATCGAGGTCAGGAAACATGGCCGCAGCAAATATTTTAGCCTCTTTTTTGACACTGGATGCTAGGCTCCATTGACTGTTAATTTAAAAAAAAAAAAGACTGGGAGCCAAGGTTCCCCTTGCTTTGCTCCCCCAACCTCCACCCAACTGTTTCTTGTTGTTGTTAGGTGCTGTTGAGTCGGTTCCAACTCATAGTGAACACATGCACAACAGAACGAAGCACTGCCCGGTCCTGCGCCATCCTCACAATCGTTGCTATGTTTGAGCCCAGCGTTGTAGCCACTGTGTCATTCCATCTCGTTAAGGGTCTTCCTCCTTTCCGCTGACCCTCTACTTTACCAAGCATGATGTCCTTCTCCAAGGACCCTGGAGAGAACATGCTGATAACATGTCCAAAGTATATGACACAAAGTCTCACTGCCCTCACTTAGGAGCATTCTGGCTGTATTTCTTCCAAGACAGACTTGTTCGTTCTTCTGGCCGTCCATGGTACACTCAATGAATAAGGAAGACCGAAGAAGAACTGATGCTTACAAAGGGAAAATTGATGCAATCAAGAAGAATTAATCAGTAATATCTGGTGGCACAATCATTAAGTGATAGACTGCTAACCAAAGGGTTGACAGCTAGAACTCTCTCAGCCACTTCTTTGGGAGAGAAGACCTGAGAATCTGTTTCCATAAAAATTACAGCCTAGAAAACCCTACGGGCAGTTCTACTCTGTCACATGGGATTGCTGTGAGTTGGAATTGACTTGACGGTACTCAACAACAACAAGCACATTGCTATTTATTTTGTCAAAGCTTTCCCATGGTATACTACGTAAGGGAACTTAGTATTACTTTTCTTGATGTCAAATAATGTTTATTTCTTTTCTGCTTAAAAATGGGGTGGATGCTCATTATAGAAAATTGTAAAATATAGAATACTAGAACGAAAGATATCTTTCCCAAATTCACCACTTCAGGTAAACACTTCGTTGCCCTTCTGGTTTAATCCTTTTTGTAACTCATCTGTTGAATTTTCAGTTAAATTATAACACAAGGATGTCTCAATATTATTACAAACTATTGGTAAGCAAAAGGTTCCTGGGTGGGGCAGATGGTTTGCTTTCAAATACTAACCTAAAGGTTGGTGATTCAAACCCACCCAGTGGCATGGGGGAAGAAAGGTCTAGCGATCTGCTTCCATAAAGATTACCCAAGAAAACCCTACGGGTAGTTCTCTGTAACACACGGGGTTGCCATGAGTCTAATTGACTTGAAGGCAACAGCTTGGGTAAGCATAGCTAAAAACTTTTTTTTTTTTGAATTATAAGAGTGATGTTGCTTGCTGAAAAATGACAAAAAAGATTATAAAAAAAAAAAAAATCAAAGCAACAGGCAATTTCTGAGTGTCCATTTCACTATGTTGAATGACACTATCAATTGAGTGTTCTCTGTTTTTTAAGAATGTTTGCTAATTTGATAGAGAAAATTTTAATCTAATTTTATTTTGCATTTTAAAATTACTAGAAAGTTTTAAAAATGTTCCTATATCTTTGTAATTTGAACTTTTTTGGGTAAATTTTCTTATTCTTTTATTAATCAGTCTTTGTAGTGCCTTTAAAACACTTCTATTTCAAGGAATACATTGTGTACGAAGAATATTAACCTGTGTCAGGTTGTGTAAAGAATATTATCCCTTTCTACATATTTTTTTAAAATTTTGTTGATGACTCTCACATTTTCATTTTATTCTTTTCCAACATAAATAGGTGTTCAATTTTTGTGGAGCGCAGCATAGTAAACTTCTTTCAGGTGATTTTTGTATCACCTTAAGTTTAAAAAACCTGCTCCAATCTGATAAATAGAGCTAAGTATTTTGTTATGTTTCTTCCAGTTATTTTGTCATTGTTGTTTTATACTCTTTAAAAGTTTCAAAAGCTATTTTACTACCTAATTGAAGAGGAGGCCCTGAGTCGTCTTCTCTTCCAACAGCTAAACCAGCTTCATTTCCTGAATGGTCCTTACCTTTCTGACTTATTTGTAGGACCATCAAAAATCATATTATATCTTGTATCTATTACTGCTTATATTTTGATAACGCTTCTTTCTTGTTGAGCTGTCTATACCGCTGTTAGAAGTCTCTGGGTAGTGCAAATGGTTAAGCTGGGCTATTAACAAAAAGATTGGCAGTTCAAACCCACCCAGAAGTGCCTTGGAAGAAAGGCCTGGCGACCTACCTCCGAAAGGTCACAGCCATGAAAACCCTACTGGGCACAGTTCTACTCTGAAACAAATGAGGTCGCCATGAGTTGGAATTGACTCAATGGCAACTGGTAGTGGTATTGCTCTGTTGGTTCTTGCCATAGTTTTGTAACATATTTTAAAAGGATTATTTTTTTTACAATATACACACACACAAAAGCTACCTGTGAAAAATGCTTCAAATCTTATCCAAATAAATAATTCCTTTATCTTATTTATACATATTCTTTTTAAAAATTTCAATTTCTATTTACAACTCTAGGCCGAAAGAGTACTGGAGAATCTCAGCCCTGAATCAGTATCTGATTCAAAAGATATGGTAAAAATGTTTCCCCTTCTTGTTGAGAAGCTAAGAAAATTGAATAAGTTACCTGCAATAGTTTTTGGGTAAGTTACTGAAACTTAATTTGTTTCTGTGTATATTTTGTTTTGTTTCCAGTTACCCTCACTCATATAAAGTCAGTACAATTAAATAAACTTTACTTTTTTGTGCATATTTTTCAAAAAAACCACTGTAAATAGATTTTATTTAAAAAAAAATGGACATGTTTCTAGTTCAATCCTTATTTGTACTCTTTGTCCTTTTTATTTCTTTTGACACTTGTTTTTTTGACCTTCTTTGACCTTTTTAGCCTTGTTAATTTTCTTATCAGTAACCATGATTACTCGAATATACATGGGTCCTTTAGAAACAAAATTGCATATTCATGTACACGTGCAAAGTACATAAAATGCCTCCAATTCTTGTAGAGTTATTTATTGGCTGGTATGGTTTGTTTTTAATTTATAGTTACAGTTAGGAAAATGAAAACCCAGAGCCATTTCTGAGAGCTTGAGTGGGATTTACGTTATCTAGCTGTGTTAAAGAGTACTGAAGTGGAGCTTCCTTACTGGTAACCCTTTGAACCCTGGATCATCTCTAGTAACAACTTTGGCAGCAGAACAGAAAGGGAAAAAAAATTTTTTCGCCAAGATAATTTTGAATGATTCTAACTATGAAATCTCTGTATAAAATAAATTCCCAGGATCTTTATCCAATGATAATATTAAATTATGTAGATGCAGACGGATACGCAAACATGCATGTAGATGTGTTAAAAGACAGCAGTAAAGGGACGTATATATTGTTATACATCCGCATGCTTATGCTGGTGGTAAGTGACTGAAACAAGATAATGATAGAAACAGAGATTCGTACAGCTGAGAACACCCATTTCGATCGTTGCAAGAAACTTTCTTCCTCTTCTGTGATTGGGTCATAGCAAGTTAAAAACGACAGCAGCAAGGAAAAACACGTGACAATACATACCGACGTCACTTTCCAGTGAGGCTCTCAATTCTAGTTACAAAGGTAGTTTTTATCTGTGAGGCCTGGCTGGAAGTATAACTTTGAAACAGGAATATCAATAACTAGATTCGTTATTTACATACTCATACATTTTTAAATGAATTGTTTTATAAAATAGCTAAGGTTTCATTCCAACTGGGAATGGGATCATGGCAGGTTTCAACGGAACTCTCAATTTTCTTTAAATATGCTCTGGAAATCCTTGGTCTCGTCCAGTTTGCTCTAGTTCACCAGCACCAGAACACCGAGAAACTCTGCGTGAGAACTGGTCTGGGTTCCGGCTGAACAAGCCAACCTTCCCCAGTCTGGATTCTGGAAGAAATACAGGGCTGGATGCATACATGTTTACTGTCTGCTGCCCAGGTAGAGGAGTGGTTGAGAGCATACACTTTGTGGTCAGAGCGGAGCTTCAGTCCCAACTCTGCCTTCCTTTGGCTATATGATTTTTGGAAAATTACTTAGCCCCTCTGGCCCTAATCTGAAAAATGGAGACAATAATAGAAATTTATTGGGTTGGGATGATAGCTATATCAAATAATTTATGTAAAGCCCCTAACTCAGAAGTAGAAAATGTGATTGGATCAGATCCAATTACTAGACCTTCTTCCTTTTGCCCGGGAATCATGACATAGAATACTGGAGGAATTGAAGACAGAAACTTATTTCCAGGTGATCTAGGTTTGTTTGTTTTAAAGCACTAGGACGGGAAACATTTAATGCCTTTACATACATTTACAACCAGTAGCATTTAGGTATTGCAAATTAACTTGTACTACTATTAAAAAAGCAAGGGAAGTTTTACAATTTCCTTGTAATCTATTTCCTTATCTGCAAAATAAAGGTAATGGTACCTTCTTCATAAGGTCATACTGAGGATTAAATGAGTTAATATATTTAAGGCACATAGAACAGCACCTGGCACTTGGTAAGTGCTTCGTAAATTGTTACTATTATTATCTTTACCTTGTTTACATACAGTATCTTCCCACCATACGCACTGGACTGTGACTTTCCTAGTCGTTATTTCTCCAGTGCACCAATTTAATCTTAATCAACTAAACAACATTCCTTTTCAAAGCTTGCTCTCTAAAAACCCAAATCAAACTCATTGCCATCTAGTTGATTCTGACTCATAGTGACCCTATAGGACAGAGTAGAACTGCCCCATAGGGTTTCTAAGGAGTGGCTGGTAGATTCGAACTGGCAGCCTTTTGGTTAGCAGCCAAATGCTTCACCGCTGCGTCACCAGGATTCTCATTAGCCATTAGGGAGATGCAAATAAAAACCGAGATACCGTCTCACCCCTGCATGAATGGCACTGATCAAAAATTCAGAAAACAATCAATGCAGGCGAGGTTATGGGGAGATTGGAACTCTCATACGCTTCTGGTTGGAAATGTAAGACGGTACAACCACTATGGAAAACGATATAGTGCTTCCTTAAAAAGTTAGAAATACCATATGATCCGGGAATCTGACTCCTAGGAATATATCCTAAATATATAAAAGCTGTCACATAAATAGACATATGGATGCCCATGTTCATGCAGCATTATTCACAATAGCACAAAGATGGAAACAACCTAAGTGCCCATCAACAGATAAATGGATAAACCAATTAAGATACATACATACAATCGAACACTACACAACGATAAAGAACAGTGAGGAGTCCATGAAACATCTCACAACGTGGATGAATGTGGAGAGTATTATGCTGAGTGAAATAAGTCAATCACAAAAGGACAAAGATTGTGTGAGACCATGATTATAAAAAACCAAGAAAAGGTTTACACACAGAAAGAAACCATCTTTGATTGTCACGAGGGAGGGGAGTGGTGGGAAGGGGAAATCATTAAGTAGATAATAGACAAGTGTTAACTTTGGTAAAGTGAAAGACTGTACACAATATAAGGAAGTCAGCACAACCTGACCAAAGCAAAGAAAGACAGAGGAACACGGGAAAAAGAAGCAACTACAATAAATACTATAGCATATACAACCCTACCACAACAGTAAAAAGAAATAATAATTTACAAACAGATGCGTAAGCAGATACATATGCTGAATAGGGGAAGGAGAGCATGTAGGAATATACCCATGTACGTATATAGGCTAGGCTGTGGATATTTTTACATATGTATTTGTATGTATGGCATGTATATTCATATATATAATAGAGCACAAACAGGGCACAGCCATAGAAGTTTCCTTCCTAGTCACATCCAAATACCTTGAGGGACTGAGTTACTGGGGCTGAGGGCTGGGGTCCATGGTCTCAGGGAACATCTAGATCAATTGGCATAATATAGTTCATAAAGAGACTGTTCTACCTCCTACTTTGGTGGGTAGTGTCTGGGGTCTTAAAATCTTGCGAGCAGCCATCTAAGATACATCTGTTGGTTCTATCCCATCTGGAGCAAAGGAGAATAAAAAAACCAAAGACACAAGGAAAATACTAACGGACCACATGAACCACAGCCTCCACCAGCCTGATCCCAGAAGAACTAGATGGTGCCCAGCTACCACCACCAACTGCTCTCACAGGGATCACAACAGAGGGTCCCAGACAGAGTGGGAGAAAAATGTAGAACAAAATTCAAACTCACAAAAAAATCATTGTATGCTTACTAGTCTGACATAAACTGGAGGAACCCCTGAGCCCATGGCCCCTGGACACCCTTCTAACTCAGAACTGAAGCCACTCCTGAAGTCCACCTTTCAGCCAAAGATTAGACAGGCCTATAAAACAAACAATAACACACACGGGGAACGCGCTTCTTAGATCAGTCAAGTGTACGAGATCACATGGGCAACATCTGCCCAAATGCAAAGACAAGAAGGCAGGAAGGCACAGGAAAACTGGACGAATGGACACGGGGAACCCAGGCTGGAAAGGGGGAGAGTTGCAGGGATTGCAACCAATGTCACGAAACGATCTGTGTATAAATTTTTGAGTGAGAAACTAATGTGCGCTGTAAACTTTCACCTAAAGAACAACAAAACGGATGGTAACAGTAGGTGAGAATATGATCTGAAGAGAAAAATGTTGTCTTCAACGCATTCTTTTCACTTGTTTGAAGTTTTAGGAATGGTGATTTGGAAGCAATTGCTGGAAGTTTGTGCACTTTTCTGGAAGAGAAGCCAGAGAGTAAAAGCCCTCTCAGAACTGACGAGTGTCATAGCTATGATGCTGACATAGCTAAATGCCTTAAAAAGGAGAAAGAAATCAACGCGAAACAAAATAAAATGTAGGTATTTACATAAACAAATTCCCAATGCAGACGTTTCCCCGATAATGTCATGGTTACATGGATGAGCAAAGAGTGACCTAGAAAATGAATTGCCAGACCAATTTTATGCCTGGAATGGAACTTCATTGCTGTGGTTACTCCTCCTTGGTCCCAACATCTAATTAATTCTGACTGCTCTATAGCCCAAGTATTTCTTCCCTCTTTGCAGTCTTCTTCATCCTCACCCTGACTCTGTCCTGTATCAGGACCTCGGCAACTCTTTGGGCTTTCGTATAGGTTTTCCCATGTGATTCTCCTCTCTTGGTTCACCCCTCCAATGTAACTCACAGGTATGATCATCCTAACATGCAAATGTAATAGCATTATCTCGTCTACAAAGCTCTTCCTTCTTAATTGTCTAGTAAAGTTGATAAAAGCTAGGCTCTTTAGCATTGTACACAACACTCTTCATACTTTGATCCTGCCTACCTCCTTGGTGTCATTCCTTGCTACTCCTCTCTGGTAAACCTCAATCTTTCATAGTTCTCTACACCTCTGTGAATTTACCTGACTCCTGGTACTAGATAATAGTATCTATCTGGAGCGCCTTCCTTTCTGTCTGTCCGTTGAGCTTGTACTTACTGTTTCTCAGTTCAAAATCTATCTTCTCTCTGAAGTTTGTAATGATTTCCCCAGTTAGACTTAGTACCCTTTTTCTTTTGTGCCATTTTGAACCAGTCGAGCAATGATCAAACTGTATTACCGTTGTTGGTGTATCTTCTTTTCCCTAGATTGTAAGTTCCCTTACAACGGGGGCTGTGTGTTTTCCTGTTTTTACCCCCAGTGCTAGCATATTGCCTGGCAGATAGTAATTACTTCGTAAATGCTTGTAGAAGGAATAATTGGACCTTCCCTCAATATAGAAACAGTTTCCATGGCCCCCATAACTTTAGATATTCCTGGGAGACTAGAGCAGATTCTCTCTTGATCCCACCACTGCATTTATCTTCTTTACGGTTGTGTAATTGTCTTACGCTTATGGGAAGGGTAAGGAGCCCTGGTGGCACAATGGTTAAGCACTTGGCTGCTAATCAAAAGGTTGGCAGTTCAAACTTCCCCAGCAGCACCGTGGAAGAAAAACCCAGCCATCTGCTCCGTTAAAGATTACAGTTTAGAAAACCCTATGAGGCAGTTTTACCCTGTCATATGGGGTTGCTATGAGTTGGAATCTTCTCAACAGCACCTAACAACAACAAGAACCCAGGAGAGAGGTGTAGGAGCTACTGGCCTTCTCAGTGACTGATTCTCTTTAGCCAGCCCTATTTCAGAGCTAAGAGCAACATTTCAAGATGGATGTATAATCAATAGGTTATTAAAAGTAAAGGGTATTTCATGCTTATAATCAGTTTATGGGCAGGCAAGAAGGGTCTTTTCTCTAGCCCTTCTCTGTTTGGGCCCCTCCCCATGACATCAGGAGTCAGTGGGGCCAAGTGGGATGTGTGACCTTGTTCTTCACTTTGCCACACTCCCTCCTTGCTTCATCACTGTGTTCTGGGTATGCGAGGTCCAAGAATTCTCTTCCCAAATTGTCCGAAGTCCATTGCCAGGGCCTGCACTGACCTCTTTCTGGATTTGTCCTCCCAAGGGCAGACTGTGCTGCTAAAGTGAGCCCCTCTAGGCCTGAGGGGTGACAAAAGATGAGTGTTTGAAGGGGTGAATAGAGCTTGCATTTGAGGGCTATGGTGTCCACACAAGTTTGCATAATGTTCCTCATGATAGCTTGGTGTCAGGGGTTGGAAGAGAAGGGTGTCTCCAAGACAGGACTGGGGTCCAGCTCTCTGTTGACCATACTGTTCTGGTGTGGACCTCTAAGGAATCCAGGAAGTCTAAGGTGCAGCCCTCCAGGATGTTATGAAGGTGGTTTTATCAACATAGGAGGAAAAACAGATTTAATTTAATGATTGCTAGCTTGATGTCTAGGGTCGCTATGAGCTGGAACCGACTTGATGGCAGTGCGTTAGTTTCATTTATATAACTTTTAAGTAGTTAGATCCATGGTATCTTAGTCATCTGGTGCTGCTCTAACAGAAATACCACAAGTGGATGGCTTTAACAAAGAGTTTATTCTCTCACAGTCCAGTGGGCTACAAGTCCAAATTCAGGGCATCAGCTCCAGGAGAAAGCCTTCTCTTTCTGTCGGCTCTGGAGAAAGATCCTCATAATGCATCAGTCTTCCCTTGGTCTGGGAGCTTCTCTGTGCAGGAACCTCAGGTCCAAAGGACCCACTGTGCTCCTGGCACTGCTTTCTTGGTGGTATGAGGTTCCCATGTGTCTCTGCTCGCTTCTCTCTTTTATATCTCAAAAGAAATTGGGTTAGGACACTATCTAATTTTGTAAACCTCATCAGTGTAACCTCATCATAGTGATAAGAGTTTACGACACATAAGGAGGTCATATTAGATTACACAATCATACAATACCGGGAATCATGACCTAGCCAAGCTGACAGATATTTTTGGGGGACACAATTCAATCCATGACACTTGGTATCAGAGTTTCTATTTGTGTTCCTGCTCCAGACTCCGTAAAGTTTAGAGGTGAGCCTGGAAATCGTCCTCCTCCCCTGATTACGATGTAATCTTAAAAAAAAAAAAACAGAAAGCAAAACCTGTTGCTGTCAAGGCCATTCCGACGCATGGCTCAGAGAAGAACTGAGCTTAATAGGGTTTTCTTGGCGGTCTTCTTTATGGCAGCAGTTCGTCAGACCTTTCTTCCACGGCACTGCCGGGTGGGTTCAAACCACTAACCTTTCGGTTGGTAGTTAAGCACACACCATCGGTGCTACCCAGGGAGCTGTGACGTAATATTCGTCGGAGGGAAGATACCAACGACTGTAGACTACACGGCAGTTGGTTTCCTCATAGCTGGTGTTCTCCTCGGTGCACAGGAAGGGAAAAGACTTGAAGAATCAGAGGGGCTTTGGGACCTGGAGGTCTGTAGAAAGCTGCAGCGAGAAGGGATAATGGGTTATGTAGCCCGATGGCATGAGAGTCATGGAAGAGGGAAGGAGAATGATCCGGAAGGAGTAAGGAGGGGCAAGGAGGGCGCCCCCTTCCAGGCCCAGGGGTAGGAAGGCTGAGTAAGAGAAAATGGCCGCTATTCGGGAGAGCTGCGGAAGCAGCAGATTCCCTGAGGAGACTTAGATTCTTGGGACAGCAAGAAGGTGAAGGGATGTTTGAGAGAAAAGGAGGAGGTCAGAGGGGATTTTGCTGATGAGGGTCCATGAGTTTACCAACCATGGCAGGGCATTCAAGGAAACCGACCCCGTCCGGATTGATAGAGCTGGTCTGGGTGAGGAAGAGGGTTCTGAGAAGTCGTAGACTTCTTATGGTGCTTGAGTATAATTGTCATTATTTAAAAATTGTTTGTTTTTTTTAATGGCAGCAAAGCAAATGATCAGCAAAAGGCTAGAAAATTGGAAAGGAAGCTAACGTATACAGCTGAGCATATTCATTTCCTGAAGAATTTGAAGAAGATTCAGGAAGTTCCTCAGGACTGCACCTACGGTGATGTGAATGCGCTGGACACCAAGGTCAGCGTGTGGACAGGCCCCATCCACCAGGGAATTACAGCTCTTTGTCACTTGTAACGCTTACTGCAGTGATGGTTTCATTGAATGTCTTTGAGAACTAAGTGAAATTCCTGCTAAATGATGTGTTTCTGTAGTATCTTTGAAATACTATTATCTCTGTGCAACGTTGTGTTTGCTTTGCAATGGTTATCCAAACATGTGGACTAAAGTTCTGCAGAGAATTTCTTCTTTCATGCTAGTTTGCCTATAAGAGTGTCAGCCTTTTATTTTATTTCATACTACTCTTCTGGATTGCTATACGGCCTGACTCTAGATTCAATCCCACATGCTGCATTTTAATGCTGGTCAATTTGGATGAAGCCCCTGGGTGGTGCAAATAGTTAAGTGCTCTGCTGCTAACCAAAAGGTTGGGGGTTTGAGTCTACCCTGTGGTGCCTCAGAAGAAAGGTCTGGCAATCTACTGAAAAATCAGCCACTGAAAACCCTGTGGAACACAGTTCTCCTCTGACACACATGGGATCAGCATGAGTCAATTGACTTGGTTGGTAACTGCTTTCTTTAAGCATATTTGGGTATGTGTGGTACAAGACATATTAAATAGTATCTGTAGACTTCCTGAATCTCAGAGGCCCTCTATATCACATCCGAGACATTCCATTGAACAGGTATTGGAATATCCAAAGATGTTATGACAGTCCTTCAGAGTTTTAAATGACATGAATAATTCCTATTCATTATAGAAATATATGAACATGTAAAACAAAAAAAATAGAAACAATGTCACCACACAGAGATATTCACTGTCCTTCCAGAATTTTTTGTGCTTATACACACAAACACATCCCCACCCATTTCATATATTTATTCACTAATAAAGTAGGATCTTATTATGCAAATTACTCTGCTTTCTTCACTGACCTATTTATTCCTTGTCAATAACAGTAGAGCTACCTCATTATTTTAATAGCGTCATCGTATTTTTTATGTGGATGAGCCCTGGTGGCACTGTGGTTAAGCATTCAGCTGCTAATCAAAAAGCTGGCAGTTCAAATCCATCAGCTGCTCCTTGGAAAACCTGTGGGGCAGTTCTACTGTGTTCTATAGGGTCACTATGAGTTGGAGTCAATGGCAATGGATTGTTTTTGTTTTTGTTTTTAATTTAATCAGTCTTCTTATCCTTGGCCTCGTCGATTATTTCCATTATTTCTTCTTGTTTTTAATAGCAGGGTTGACCTTAAACATCTTTGCCAATACCTGGCTTTCCTCTGTAGGGTAAATTCCTAGAAGTCGGATTGTGAGGGTACTGATGTGTTTAAGCTTTGGAAGTGAGTCGTGACTGATTTGCAAGGGGAAGTAAACTTTCCCAACCTGTCCCTGGGTGGAGCAAATGGTTAAGCGCTCGGCTACTAGCCAAAAAGTTGGTGGTTCAACCCACCCAGAGATGCCTTGGAAGACAAGCCTGGCGATCTGCTTCCAAAAGGTCACAGCCTTGAAAGCCCGATGGAGCAGTTCTACTCTGCACACATGGGGTCGCTGTAAGTCTGAATCAACTCGTAGCAACTAATAACAACAATGCAGGGTAGGGAACCTGCTCTGCCTTCCGGGTACAGCCCCTCTCTAGGTGGGGGTCAGGGGTGGGGAGGGTGGAGCCAACTCCTAAAGCTCCCGGAGAGAGCTCATCTCCCCAGAGCAGCAGCTGGTGTGACTCACCCCTGCCCCGAGCAGTTCCCTTTGCTTTACGACTGTCTCTTCTCTGAGACAGTCTGAAGAAGTGGGAAGACTGTTTCTGTAGTTATAAAATATTATTTGCTTTCAAAGGTTCAGTAGCAAACAGAAGTCTCACTTTACACAAAGTATAAACAATTTGTGCATGTAAACAACCTTTGATTCTAATAGAAATTGAAACTGAAAAACGCGTTATTAACTGTCGCGTACTTCTCTCTTTGTTCAGTCTTTGAAAGCAGTGTTTGAACAAGTAGAATCAACGAGAAATGGCAAGAAGTTGAAGACTTTGGCACAAAGGGGTATTGGATTTCATCACAACTCCATGTATTTTAAAGAAAAAGAGTTTGTGGAGATACTCTTTGCGAAAGGGTTTATCAAGGTAGGTAATTATTTGGCATTTTAAAGCTGAAGTTATATATACATGGTGCTGAATGCCAGTGACAAGTGAAAAATTATACTGGTTTTCGCATCTAGTCTGTGCCTTTTTATTACAACACATTTGACTGCTTCTCCATCTAGTCCATTTAGCTGAGGAATTTAAAAATTATTTCCATAATTAATAACTATTGTTAGAAAGAAAATAGGATACTATGGTAATATAAGCATAACTCTCTACTTTTTAACTTCTAGTGTCTACGGACGTTTGTTAGTCCTTTTAACTTTATCCTACAGACTTCCTTCTATGAGCTTAGAGGATATTTAAGGTATAGTTTTGTTTAGACCTTTTTCTAATGTGATAACTCAGCTAAAGAAAGATGTATCTCTTTCCCAGCAACTGGAAAAAGCTTGTCCTAGCCTAACACGTTCTAGACAGAGTTTATAGATGTGCTACCTCTAAATGAACATGGAACAGAGTACGGATATCTTAAATTGCTCGTGAACAAACACTTGTTAACTTTTTGTTAGTATGTCCCAGGAGGATGTAACATTCTGTTTCTAGGTGGAGATAGTCTGCATAAATGCACCAAGAAAGTTGATAGAATTACCTAGTAAATTTGCTTCTTGGTAATTTGAAAACATAGGCACCAGCTTCTTCAAATTATTCGTATTAAAATGGTAATATTTTATTGAGTGTGTGTATGAGTGTGTGTGTGAGAGAGAGGGAGATTTAGAGAGAGCGAAGGGGAGATCATGGAAACAGAGGAGAGATGAGTGAGTAGAAGGGGTGCTATTCAGAATACGTATCTTTGTAATCTTAAGAATGGAAACCCTGGTGGCACAGTGGTTAAGAGTTCGGCTGCTAACCAAAAGGTCAGCGATTCGAATCCATCAAGCGCTCCTTGGAAACCCTATGGGGCAGTCCTACTCTGTCCTATAGGGTCGCTATGAGTCAGAATTGACTCGACGGCAATGGGTTTGGTTTTGGTTTTTCAGAGTCTTAAGAATAGCGAGGCGTATAAGATACCGTAACTAAATGGTTCTTCTTGCTATTTAGCAAAATGAAAAATACCATGAACAACTGCTCAGTTTTCCCATTAGCATATATCAAGACAATCTGTCATTTTTAAGGGCAAAACCCAGAGAAAACAGTTTTTATAGCGGCTATTAATTGCCGACAAGGATCACACCTGTGGTGTTCTTCACACCCAGTTTACAGAACTTGTCCCGTAGTAGTTGCTCAGTAAATATTTGTTTAATAAATGAGTGAGCAAATGAATGAATAACCAGATTGCTGCGATAGGTTAATTCTGGAAATGATGATAGCTTTGCTGCACAGAACACATTTTTACATGGTACTCATTGTAGTTAAGTCCTGAATTTTAATGCTTTGAGTCTTTTCACCTTTTTCTTATTAATGAACTTTAAAAAAGAACAAGTAATGGACGATGTTTAGATTTATTTATCAGAAAGTCATTTTGCTTACTCTATCATTAAATGTTTTAAGTAGTTATGGTATAAATGAATATCAATGTATCTGATAAAAAGAGAAGACCAAATCCAACACATGTACCCCCATTCAACAGATGAATGGGCACACAGCTGAATTATAGGTAAACTGTGAAATGTGCTCTACTTCCCCACCCCTCAACAGTTAGCAATGTAAATAAGGGGAAAATATAACTTTACTATGTTTTAATTACAGATTGCTAATTATTAGTATGCTTAAATTATAGATTAAAGCCAGTTGCTATCAAGATGATTTCCATTCATGGCGACCCCATGTGTGTCAGAGTAGAACTATACTCCATGGGGTTTTCAATGGCTGATTTTTCAGAAGTAGATCATCAGGCCTTTCTTCCAAGGTGCCTCAGGGTTGACCCCAACCTCCAGCCTTTCAGTCAACAGCCGAGCTCGTTAATCTGTTTACACCACCCAGGAACTCCCATTGACAGATCACAAACTTTCATAAATAAAGTATGATGGTAGGGGAAGGACATTGTTGAGAGGGGTGTAAGGAAAACTAGTATTACCTATTTTGGGGAAATTCTTATGATAGTTGTTCGTTCACTCATTCATTCCTTAATGTATTGAACGCATGTTTATTGTGGATCTATTATGTACTAAGTATTCTTCTGCATGCTGAGGATATATCAGACAATAAGACAGATAAATGTCCCTGCCCTCATGATACATATGGTCTAGGAGGGACTAATAAACATGGTTATTTTAGAAAGAGTGACTCAAGAAATTCTTTCTGACATGTAAGCAAGGTTGGAGGTTCGAGTCCACCTAGAGGCACCTTGGAAGAAAGACCTGGCAATCTACTTCTGAAAAATCAGCCATAGAAAACCCTATGGAGCAGAGTTCTACTGTGACACACGTGGAGTCTCCATGAGTCCAAATCGAGTAGATGGAAACTGTTTTTTTTTTTTTATTCTTAAAGAGAGATCAGAAAGAGCCTGCAAATGAAGATTTGGGGGAAGCCGTTCTAGGCAGAGCAAACGGCGACAGTTAAGACCCTAGGTAGCAAGCAGTGTGCCTGGTATACTCAGGATCTATCAGGAACAGTGTGGTTGGGATGTTAGCCTTCCCACTTTGTTTTAATTCAAGTTCAAAGAGTTTTTCGATGACTGGGGCGATGATTATATCATGTGTCCTTATAGACATGCTACGTTTTGCATGAACTCTTTCATTCTTCTCCTAGGTGGTGACAGCTACTGGAACTCTTGCCTTAGGAATCCATATGCCCTGTAAATCTGTTGTTTTTGTTCAAGACTCAGTCTACCTGGATGGTTTAAATTACAGACAGGTATTATGATATTCTTTGTGATGCACGAACTCTTACTCTGCTGAAATGTGAGCATGAGATAATGGAAAAGGTGGCACTTTCATTTATGAACAGGCTCCAATTTGTGGTCTTCTTTTCACTTTCTACGTGGCATAAAATTGTGTTTTTATTTTTTTTCCAGAGGTTTCTCATATTACTTCATGCCATGTGATTTATTTGCTTTACTATTTTCTCACAACCAGTGTTACATGGCTTAACAATCTTAGTATCATTTTTTTGTTGAGAAGTACAGAGCTGTTCAGATTCTTGTTCCTTCTTAATGACTTTTTGTTTTATTTTTTTCTGGAGTCTGTAAAATCTTTATTAATATTTTGAAATTTCTTGCATCATCTGTTTCCTTTAATTTGTCCTCTATTTCATCAATTCCTGGATGTTTTGAGGATTCTGTCATATAAATGAAGTTGTTATTGCTGTTAGTTGCCCTCAAGTGGATTCCAACTCATTGTGACCCCATGTGTGCAGAGTAGAACTGCCTCCATAGAGTTTTCAAGGCTGTGACCTTTTGGAATCAGATCACCAGGCTTTATTTCTGAGGACCCTGCCCTGCGCCACCCCCTAGCCCTGCCCCACCAAGTGCCACATCCCTGAGCAAAAAATTGGTAAAACAAAATATTTTTTGTAAACAAATTCTCAACAACACTTTAGTCAATAGAATTCAGCAACATATCAAAAAAAAATAATATACCACGACCAAGTAGCATTCATACCAGGTATGTAAGGGTGGTTTAACAACAGAACATCAATCAAAATAATCCACCACATAAATAAAACAAAAGAATCACATGGTCATCTCAGTCGACACAGAAAAGGCATTTGGTAAAGCCCAACACCCATTCCTGATAAAAACTCTGAATAAGGTAGAAATAGAAGGGGAATTCCTAAGGGCATCTATACAAAACCAACAGCCAACATCATTCTCAATGGAGAGAGGCTGAAAACATTCCCCCTGAGAATGGGAACAAAACAAGGATACCCTTTATCACCACTTCTATTTAACATTGTGCTGGAAGTCCTACCTAGAGCAATAAGGCATGAAAAAGAAATAAAGGGCATCCAAATTGGTAAAGAAGACGTAAAACTATCCCTATCTCTGAATGATATGATACTATACATAGAGACCCCTAAAGACTCTACAAGAAAACTACTGGAACTAATAGAAAGATTCAGCAGAGTAGCAGGATACAAGATCAACATACAAGAATTAGCTGGATCCCTATACACCAACAAAGAGAACTTTGATAAGGAAATAAGGAAAACAATGCCATTTATAATACCCCCTAAAAAGATAAAATACTTAGGAGTAAATCTAACCAGGGACATAAGAGACCTATACAAAGAAAACTACAAAACATTATTACAAGAAACTAAAAGAGAACTACATAAATGAAAAAACATACCATGCTCATGGATAGGTAGATTTAACATAGTGAAGTGTCAATTCCACCCAAAGCAATCTACAAATACAACGCAATCCCGATCCAAAGACCAACAGCATTCTTTAATTAGATGGGAAAAATTATCACTAACTTTATATGGAAACAGAAGAGGCCCCAGATAAGTAGAGCACTATTGAAGAAAAAGAATAAAGTAGGAGGACTCGCATTATGTGACCTCAGAACCTACTATACAGCTATGGTAGTCAAAACAGCCTGGTACTGGTACAGTGACAGACACATTGAAGAATGAAACAGAATGAAGAACCAGATGTAAATCCATGTGCCTATGGTCACCTGATCTTTAAAAAACACCCAAAGTCCATTAAATGGGGAAAAGAGAATCTTTTTAACAAATGGTGCTGTCAAAACTGGATGTCTATCTGTAAAAAAAATTAAACCAGATCCATACCTCACACCATACACAAAAACTAATTCAAAATGGATCGAAGTCCTAAATATAAAACTAAAAACTATAAAGATCATAGAAGAAAAAATAGGGTCAGTATTAGAGGCCCTACTACACAGCATAGATAGGATACAAACCGTAACTAATGATACACAAACACCAGAAGATACACTAGATAACTGGGATCTTCTAAAAAATTAAACACTTACGCTCATCAAAAGACTTCACAAAAAGAATAAAAAGAGAACCTACAGATCAGGAAAAAATTTCTGGCTATGACATATCTGACAAAGGTCTAATCTCTAAAATCTATAGGACAATCCAACACCTCTACAACAAAAAGACAACTAATCCAATTAAAAAAATAGGCAAAGGTTATGAACAGATGCTTCACCAAAGAAGACATTCAGGACGCTAACAGACACCTGAGGAAATGCTCATGATCACTAGCCATTAGAGACATGCAAATCAAAACCACAATGAGATACCATTTCACCCCAACATTGTGGGCACTGATCAAAAAAACAGAAAATAACAAATGTTGGAGAGGCTGCAGGGAGATTGGAACTCTTATGCAGTGCTAGTAGGAATGCAAAATAGTACAGCCATTTTAGAAAACGATATAGCCCTTCCTTAAAAAGCCAGAAATACAATTACCAGCAATCCCACTCTAGGAATATATCCTAGAGAAATAAGAGCCGTCACATGAATAGACATATGCACACCCATGTTCATTGCAGCATTATTCACAATAGCAAGAAGATGGAAACAACCTAAGTGCCCATCGACGAATGAATGGATAAACAAACTATGGTACACAGTGGAATACTACACAATGATAAAGAACGATGATGAATCTGCAAAAATTCTCACAACACGGATGAATCTGAAAGGCGTTCTGCTGAGTGAAATAAGTCATCACAAAAGGATAAACACTGATGAGACCAACTACTATTATAAAAATTCATGAACAGGTTTACACACAGAAAGAAACAATCTTTGATGGTTATGAGGGAGGAGAGGAGTGAGGAGGGAAAACCACTAAATAGACAATAGAAAAGTGGTAACTTTGGTGAAGAGTAAAATGGTACACAATACCGGGGAAGTCAGCACAACTTGACCAAGGCAAAGTCATAGAAGATTCATAGACACCTCCAAACTCCCTGAGGGACCACCCTACTGGACTGAGAGCTGGGGGCCATGGTCTAGGGGGACATCTAGGTCAATAGGCATAAAATATTTTACAAAGAAAATGTTCCACATCCAACTGTGGTGAGTAGCATCTGGGGTCTTAGAAGCTTGTGAGCAGCCATCTAAGAAACGTCTACTGGTTCCATCCCGTCTGGAGCAAAGGAGAATGAAGAAAACCAAAGACACAAGGGAAAGATTAACCCAAAGGACTAATGGACCTCAACTACCACAACCTCCACTAGACTGAGTTCAGCCCAACTAGATGGTGCCTGGCTACCACCACCGACTGCTCTGACAGGGATCACAATACAGGGTCCTGAACAGAAAGAGAAAAAAATGTAACACAAAATTCAAACTCACAAAAAAAGACCAGACTAACTTGTCTGTCAGAGACTCGAGAAGCCCTAAGAGTATGGTCCCTGGCACCCTTTGAACTCGGTACTGAATTCACTCCTAAAGTTCACCCTTCAGTCAAAAATTAGACAGGCCTATAAAACAAACAGTAGCACACACAGTTCAACCGTGGATTTGAAACTAAATGGCCCAGCAGCCAAAAAGCAAAATCAAGAAGGCAGATAAGGACAGGAAAGCTGGACGAATGGAAATGGGGAATCCGAGGTCGAGAAGAGGAGAGTGTTGACACATCCCGGGAATGGCAACCAGTGTCATAAAACAATATGTATATTGATTATTTAATGAGAAACTAATTTACTCTGTAAACTTTCACCTAAAGCACACACACACACGCACACACACACACACACACAACCCTCTAGGTATTACAACCTCGTCTAAAAGTTGAGACACTACACTAAATTAAGTAGACAGTTTAAAGAATTATTTTCAATGTCTGTTGAAAGATTGTTCAGATTTAGCTGTTCAGTCAAGATGCTTTTAATATCAAAAGGCCAAAGTTCAGAAAGAAATGTATGGGCAGAATGAAGAATTAAGGTTACCATCTTAAATATCTGGGAATGGGATCATTTAGAGAGATTTGAGAAGATACTTTATCCACAAAACAAGAAGATGCTATCACAACAACAAAGAATTCAAGAAAGTTCTTTTGGAAAAATAACTAGTTCAGTAGAAGGGCTAAAAATAATACAGTCAAGGACATTTTCTGCAACATTGAGTGAAAAGAAAACAATGGAAAATTGAGAAAGAGGATATGAGATATTGAGAATTGATCCAAGAAGTCTGCTATTCAATAACAAGAAATGAAAGAGAAATATCAAGAGAGATGGGGATCCTGTGAGCAGTTATCTAACCCGGGAGGACAGTGAGAGGAACTGCTAGTGTAACCTGTCCAGATTGGAGCACAAGATCAGAGAGCTCTGGGATAGATATCTCTGTGATATCTCTTATAAGGGGTAATAAGACTAGTAGACCAAAGTATTATTTAGAAATCTAAAAATGCAAAAAAGTGTAGACAATGTTTATATACCCACCAACCATAATTCATCATTGTGAACATTAGTCATATTTGCTTCAAGTCCTTTGTTTATAAAAGAAATAAAACATTACAAATAAAAAAAAAGAAAGGAAGAAAACAAAAATCCTCACAACTGGACCAATAAGCAGCATCATGATATACAGAGAAAATATTGACGTTGTCAAGGATTTCACTTTTCTTGGATCCACAATCAACACCCATGGAAGCGGCAGTCAAGAAATCAAATGATGTATTACATTGGGCAAATCTGCTACAAAAGACCTTTTGCAAGTGTTAAAAAGCAGAGATATCACTTTGAGGATTAAGGTGTGCCTGATCCAAGCCATGGTATTTTCAGTCGCCTCATATGCATATGTAAGCTGGACAATGAATAAGGAAGACTGAAGAATTGATGCATTTGAATTACGGTGTTGGTGAAGAATATCGAATATACTATGGTCTGCCAGAAGAACGAACAAATCTGTCTTGGAAGAAGTACAGTCAGAATGCTTCTTAGAAGCGAGAATGGCAAGACTTTGTCTCATGTACTCTGGACATTTTATCAGGAGGGACTAGTCCCTGGAAAAGGACATCATGCTTGGTAAAGTAGAGGGTCAGTGAAAAAATGGAAGACCCTCAATGAGATAGACTGACAGAGTGGATGCAACAATGGGCTCAAACATAGCAATGATTGTGAGGATGGGGCAGGACTGGACAGTGTCTCCTTGTGTCGTACATAGGGTTGCTCTGAGTTGGAACAGACTCCATGGCACCTAACAACAGCATATCTCATTAGGATGGGCATTTGTCCTACTCTACCTAGTTTTCTCACTATTTCTAATCATTGTAGATTGTTTTTTATGTATCATTTTACAATGTCTAATACAGTTGTCTACATGATACAGATATCTGATAAAGGTGAAAGTCCCATTTTCCATTTTACCTCACCAACAGTAGATTTCATAAGTGACACAGTGGAAGTTAGCTTCAGGACTACATGAAGAATTTAGCCAATCCAGGGTAACAACTGTGAAGTAATAGGTATTTAAACTTCATAGGAAATTATTTAGGAAAGTTTTACATTGTGGTACTCTCCTTTTTCTAGATGTCTGGACGTGCTGGAAGACGAGGTCAAGACCTGCTGGGAGATGTGTATTTCTTTGGTATTCCACTGCCCAAAATAGAAAGACTCATGACATCCAACGTTCCTGAGCTCAGAGGACAGTTCCCACTCAGCACAACCCTGGTCCTGAGACTTATGCTGTTGGCTTCCAAGACAGATAATGCCAATGCAAAGGTGCCCTGTTAACATAGTGTGACGAGAATCTGTGTTCATCATTGGCCTGGCTATAGTTGGGCTGCATTTTGTTTTGCAAGTCTGTAGTGATAATTCTTTGGTTTTATCAGTCCTTTCATACTTTCTATTTTCTTGAATATTATGTGATTTATTTAGGGCAGAAAAAATAAGACATTTATTTTCATTTGGTTCACCCCTAGTATTTCTAGTTATAGGTTTTTAAAATCGACAGTGTCTATTATATGTTGAAGGGAGTCCTGGTGGCGTAGTGGTTAAGAGCTGGGCTGCTAACTGAAATGCAGACGGTCCAAACCCACCAGCTACTCTTCCATAAAGATTATAGCTTTGGAAACCCTATGGGGCAGTTCTACTTTGTCCTGTAGGGTCGCTATGAGTTGGGATTGATTTGACAGCACACAACAACAATTATATGCTGAACTTTTTCAATTGTCACACTCAAGTATTTTTTGCACTAAGAAAAACATTTCTTATATTTTGTTTTGCCTCTTTTTTGGTTGCTTAGGTTTCTTCTTTAGGAAAAGTGTTAATTCTTAGGTAGAATCTTTATTGCTAAGTCTCTGTAAATTTTTTCATTGTGGAAGGGCTTCTGAATTCATCTTCCACATCACAGACGCTATTTTTTTTTTTTTTAATATCAGTTCTGCTTTTTGATGACACAAATAAGGGTTTCCGTTTAGTTGCTGAGCAGTGGAGTGCTGTGGTAACAAACACCTAAAAATGTTGAAGGGGTTTTTGAATTGGGTGATTGGTAGACGGTAGAAGAGTTTGGAAGTGTTTGATAGTAACAACCTAGATTGCCTTGAAGAGAATTTTGGTAGAATCCTGGAAATTAAGTGTAATCCTGATGAGGTCTTAGGTAGAATTTAGAGCTGTGGGGAAAGCTCCTATCCTCATGAACAGAATGTTACTAGAAATGTGGACATTATATGTGTCTCTGTTAAGGCTTTAAAAGGAAATGATGGACATGTTATTGAGCATGGGAGGAAAGCAATCCTTATTATAAAGTGGCAAAGAACTTGGCTGCATTATGTTAGAATGTTTTGTGGTAGAACTTGTAGAGCTTGCAACTGATGAACTTGGATATTTAGCTCAGAAGATTTCTAAGCAAAATATTAAAGGTGCATCCTGATTTTTCATTGCTTTTTATGTTAAAATATGGGAGGAAAGAGACAGATTGAGAAATGAACTGTGCAAAAAGAAACCAGAACTTGAAGATTTGGGAAACCGCACTGTAAAAATTAAGAGAGCTTTTCCTAGAAAGGTTATCAAGGGTGTGGCTACAAAACATTTGCTAAAGAGATTATGCCTGTGACTTAAGGATATAATCAACCATCTCAGCAAAACCCTGTCAGTTTAGACTAAAAAGGCAGACACAGGACAAAATGAAGGAAAAATGGCTTTGCCACCCAAACTTGAAGTGAGCAGGACCTGTGACCTAGTGGGCCAGGAGAATGGGTCTGCCACTCCAGACCCTCAGAAGGAGTGAGTTCACACTCCAGTGGCCCAGGATAATGTGACTTTCCAAAGATGAGGGATTTGGGTTGCTGTGCCAGTGGAGCAGGAAAGCATGGCCACTGACCAGGGCCTCAGGGGCCCTACTCAGAGTTGAGAGTGTAGGGCCAACACACAAATGTGCCTGGAGAACAGAGGATTATTTGCAAGCCTTGAGATCTAATGGATCCATGGTACCCATGTCTTCTTTCCCTCCAGTTTCTCCCTTTTGGAATGGGAATGCCTACCTTATGCCTATCCCACCATTGTACTTTGGATGCAGATAGCTTGTATGCTAGATTAAACAGGTCCACAGATGGAGAGGAATCTTTGCTGTAGGGTGAAAAACACCCAGTCTCACCCATACTTGATTTGGATGATTCAGAAGATGAGATTTTGGACTTAGAATGGGTGCTGCAATGGATTAAGAATTTTGTTGATGCTGGGATGCAGTCAATGTATTTTGCATGGGAGGAGAACATAAATTTTTGAGGGGGCAAAGGGTGAAGTGTTATGGATTGAGTTGTGTACTCTGAAAAGAAATGCTGAAATTTATTGTCTCACAGTTCTGGAGGCTAGACGTCTGAATTCGGGTCATAGACAGGGCTATGCTGTCCCTTTCTTTTTGGGCTCTAGGGAAAGATCTTTGCTTCTCTCTTTCATTTCTATAGGCCTAAATGCTTCTTGCTATTCCTTATCTTGTAGAGGGATCCTCACCTACTGTCTTCTGCTTGTGTGTCACTCCCTTTTTATAAGACACCACTCAGAAGGGATTAGGACCCACCCTGTTCCAATATGACATCATTAATTTAACTGATAACATCTGTACAGACAAAAAACCTATTTCTCCAAACAATGTCACACTCACCAGGTACAAAGGTTAGGACTTTAGCATCTTTTTGGAGGATGCAATTCAATCCATAATACTCTGCCCTCTGGCCTCCCCCAAATTCATGTCCTTTAGACATGCAAAATACATTTACTCCATCCTAACATCCCCAAAAGTCTTAACCCATTCCTTAGCCCTGGGTGGTCCCTTTCTTCCTGGAACCAAGGTGGTAACCACACCCTTTGAATCCTAGGTGGAAGCCCCACCCTTTGAAACCTAGGAAGTGGAGGCCCTGACCCCAGTGCACCTTCTGACAGTCCTGCTGTTCTCTGAGATGCTCTCAGAATCATCCTTTTCTTTTCTTGGTGGACAACAGATGCTTGCGGACAAGTTGCTCCATGATCCCCTTTCCTGCCTATAGAATTCCAGGAATCAGACAGCTTTCTTTCATTTTTCCCATCTCTGTCCCTTTCGATCTAAGCTGACTGTGTATCTGCTGAGATAGTTTATTGGATCTATAGCTTACACGCCGAATCTCTTTAGCGAAGGACTGTGTAGCCACAACCTTGGTGTTCTTTCCAGGGAACACTCTCTTAATATTTGCAAATCTTCAAGTTCTGATTTCTTTTTTCACAGTTCTTTTCTTAATTTATCTCTTTCTTCCCACATTTTATTGTAAGAAGCAAGGAGAAACAAGGCTACACCTTGAAGATTTTGCTCAGAAGTCTTCTCAGCGAAATATCCAAGTTCATCAGTGGCAAGCTCTACTTTCCACAAAACGTTTGAACACAATTCAGCCAATTTCTTTGCCACTTTACAAGTCCAATAACTTGTTTATCATTTTGTTTTAAGGCCTTAGCAAAAGCCCATTTAATGTCCACATTTCTAGTAGCATTCTATTCATCATGATAGAAGCTTTCTCTACAGGTCTCCTCGTTTCTTTCTGAGCCCTTACTAGAATCTCTTTTCAGGTCTGTAATTTTGCCAACAGTCTCTTCACGGCAACGTAGACCTTTACTATAAAGTGCCTGAAAACTCTTCCAGTCTCTACCACTTACCCAATTCCAAAGCCATGCCCAGATCTCCAGGCATTAGTTAAAGCAACACCCCCACTTTCTGGTACCAAATTCTTAGTCTCCTCGAACTTCCATAACAAAATACCACTAAGTTGTTGGCTATAAAGAACAGAAATTTATGTTCTCACAGTTCTGGGGGCTAGAAATCCAAATTTAGGGTATTAGTAAGGGCGTCCTCTCTCTCGGTCAGTTCTAGGGGAAGATCCACTCTTGTCTCCTTCAGTTTATGTAGCCCCGAGCATTTCTTGGCAGTCCACGACTTGTAGATGGAGCCTCACATGCTGTCTTTTCCTCGTGTGTGACTCTGTGTCCATGTCTTTCCTTCTCTTCTATCAGAAGTCACTCAGAGGGAATTGGGATTAGGATTTACCCTACTCTGATATGACTTCATTTAACTTAACTGATAACATCTACACATAAAAACTCTACTTTTCCAAACGAGGTCACATTCACAGGTACAGGGGTTAGGGTATTGATGGTATTCCGGTTAGCAAATGGTTAATGTGCTCAGCTCCAAACTGAAAAGTTGGAGTTTTGAGTTCACCTGGAGATGCCTAGGAAGAAAGGCCTGGTGATCTACTTGTGAAATATCAACCGTCAAAAACCTTATGGATCGTAGGTCTACTCTGATACACATGCGGTCATCATGAATCAAAATTGACTCGATGGCAACTGGTTTTATGTGTGTGTGTGTGTGTGTGTGTGTGTGTGTGTGTGTGTTTAAAAGACATTTTGACCTCAATTTTTCTCCTTATTTTTGCCTTGTTTCGTAAAAGACGTACTTTTTGGCACCTATGTGGACTCCTAAAATACATTTTCAAAAAACGTTTTGTTTCCTATAGAAAATTACTTGCATGGGCCAGCTCTTTCTGAGTGTAAAAGCCTAAACCCTTTCTATGGTCTAGAGCACCCCACACCGTCAGGCCCTCTATGATCTCTTTGCTGTTACTTCCAGCTGTGCTTCCTTTCCTCTCTGGACTTCTGTCTCTCTGTCTGGGTTTCTGTTCCTTAATATGTCAGCCATCGTCCAGTCTTTGGGCCTTCATTCTTCATCTCCCCCTACCTGGAAGGTGTTAGAGTAGAGCCTGAAACAAAGAAAGAACTCAGTAAAAGTTGTTGAATTAATGAAGAAGTCCTTAAGATGATGCTCACGTTCTCTTGTGGGGAATTGATTTATAAACTCCATGTTAATTGCTTTTTTTCCTATTTGAACCTATTTCCTATATATAAATTAAATCACATTTATCGACATCTGTGGCTTGCCAAATATAGATGTAGGGATTTTCCTATAGATTCACATTCTGTCTACTTAAGAGTTGTTCGAATATGTTTTTTTTGTTTGACCATTTTTATTGCGCGTTAGGTGAAAGGTTACAGAGTGAATTAGTTTCCTATTCAATAATTGATAGACCAATTGTTCCATGATATTGGTTGCAATCCCTGCAATGTGTCGGCATTCTCCCCGTTTCTACCCTGAGTTCCCTGTTTCCATTCATCTGGTTTTCCTGTCTCTTCCTGCCTTCTCATCTTTGCTTTTGGGCAGATGTTGCCCTTTTAGTCTCCTATGGTTGACTGTTCTAAGGAGCACTTTCCTCATGGGTGTTATTATTTATCTTATAGGTCTGTCTATTGTTTGGCTGAAAGGTGATCACTAGGAATGGCTTCAGTTCCAAGTTAGAAGGGTGTCTAAGGTCCGTAATCTGAGGGGTTCCTGCAGTTTCTATCAGACCAGTAAGTCTGGTCTTTTTTTATGAATTTGAATTTTGTTCTACATCTTTCTCCCACTCTAACTGGGACCTTCTATTGTGATCCCAGTCAAAGCAGTTGGTAGTGGTAGCTGGGCACCATCTAGTTCTTCTGGTCTCAGGCTTATGGAGGCTGTGGTTCATGTGGACCATTAGTCGTTTGGACTAACTGCTTCCTTAAGTCTTCGGTTTTCTTCATTCTCCTTTGCTCCAAATGGGAAGAGACAGATAGCTGTCTCTTAGATGGCCACTTGTAAACATTTAACACTGCAGACACTACTCACCAAAATATGATGCAGAACATTGTCTTTATAAACTGTGTAATGCCAGTTGACCTAGATGTCCCCTGGGACTACAGTCTCCAGCCCTCAGGCCCAGTAAGTCAGTTCCACAAGGTGTTTGGTTATGGCTAAGAAATTTCTATGGATGTGCACCCTGTGTGCTCTATCGTATGTATGAATATACATGCAGCACGTACAAATATATATGTAACCTAATCTATACATGCACGTGGGTGTACTTCCATACACCCTCCTATACCTACTCAGCATACATATCTACCTATATATCCACTTGCAAATTATTGTTATTACTGTTGCTGCAGGATTGTGTCATTGTGCCTTTTATTTTTGCCTACCTCTCAGTGTCTTTCTTTGCCTTGGTCATGTTGTGCTGACATCCCCCCCTATTGTGTATTACCTTGCCCTTTGCCAGCATTAATATGTGTCTACTATCTGGTTATTGATTCTCCCTGTTTCCCCCCTTCCACCCCTTGTAACCAAGGGCATGTTTCTTTGTGTGTAAACATTTTCTTGACTTTGTATAATAGTGGTCTCATACAATAGTCGTCCTTTTGTGATTGACTTATTTCCCTTAGCGTAATGTCCTCCAGATTCATCCATGGTGTGAGATGTTTCACAGACTCATCGTTATTCTTTATCATCGTGTATTAGTCCATTGTATGCATGTACCACAGTTTATCCTTTTATTTGTTGATGGGCACTTAAGGTTGTTTCCATCTTTCTGCTATTGTGAATAATACTTCAATGAACATGTGTGTGCATATGTCTATTCGTGCGATGGCTCTTATTTCTCTAGGATATATACCTAGGAATGGGATTTCTGGATCATATGGTAATTCTATTTCTAGCTTTTTAAGGAAGTGCCATATCGTTTTCCACGGTGTTTGTACCAATTTACATTCCCACCAGCAGTGTATAAGAGTTACAGTCTCTCCACAACCTTGCCGGCATTTGTTGTTTTCTTTTTTTTTTTGATCAGTGCCTTTATTGCTGGCGTGAAATGGTATCTCATTGTAGTTTTGCTTTGCATCTCTCTAATGGCTAATGATCGTGAGCATCTCTTCACGTGCTTGTTAGCCGCCTGAGCGTCTTCTTTGGTGAAGTGTCTGTTCATGTCCTTTGCCCATTTTTAAATTGGATTGTTTGTCTTTTTGTTCCAAGGGGTTGAAGTTTTATATAAATTTTAGAGATTAGACCCTTGTCGAATATGTTGTGGCCAAAATTTTTTTCCCAGTCTGTAGGTTCTCTTTTTACTCTTTTGGAGATGTCTTTTGATGAGCATAAGTTTTTAATTTTTAGGAGGTCTTGCTTATCTAGTTTACATTCTGCTGTTTGTGCCTGTCAAATATCTTTTAATATATATAGCTGGGTAGTTGACTGATCAGCATAGTTTCTAGCCCAATTCTCCTTGTCTAGCAGGTTTTCCTTTAATGTCTTTCTGCCATATTGAGGGTGATTATCTTCTGTCTCACTGCCTGGCTTGCTGACTTGTTGATCATATGGATGTCATTAATTACTGCAATGTCCTATATGCATTGCTCTCAGGATTATTACCATTTTAGCAACACTATAATTATTGGGTCTGTAGCTCTTAAGGATGAAATCTACCTCCATGACTCCTTCACCTTGCTTCTTATCACGTTGTTTTCTGACTGTTGCAGCCTCTGAGTGTAGAGAAGGATTTTAAAGATGTTGTAGGGGAGGCATTCTGGATCCTTCAGAAAAAGGGGATGGTTGTCTAGTTATACTTACTTTTCTCCCTCCCTTCTATCCTTCCTTTCTCATATATTGGCCTTATACCCGTTAATACCTATTGCTGTTGGGTCGATTCTGACTCATAGCAACCCTATAGGACAGAGTAGAACTGCCCCACAGAGTTTCCAAGGAGCGCCTGGTGGATTCGAACTGCCAGTCTTTTGGTTAGCAGCCGTAGCCTCAAACACTACGCCACAAGGGTTTCCACTGGCCTTATAGGAAGAGGAAATTCCTCCATGATTCTAAAAACATCAGCCTAAAGATTGTGAAGCCTGCATTTTGATGACACCAAGAAGTTTTTGTCATTTCCTGAAACTACATGGATATTTCATTTAAAACTTGAGAGATACCTGGGTGGCTGGTTAGACACCATTTTATTGGAAACTAAGAAATATTTCTACTCCATTGTTTTTAATATACCTGACTCATTATTTCGGTGGCATACACCAGCGCTCGGTGATGCAACTGGTTAAGTGCTCCGCTGCTAACCGAAAGGTTGGCAGTTCGAACCCACCCAGCAGCTTCACAGGAAAAAGACCTGTTAATCTGCTCTTGTAAAGATTACAGCCTAGGAAACCCTATGGGACAGTTCTACTCTGTCACATGGGATTGTTATGGGTCGGAGACCTACCTGATGGCCCCTAACACAACAACAACAAAGGTCGACTGGTAAACTGGAATGGCTTGCCTCCGTTATTCTTTCAGGCTGCTGTTGGTCACCATGGTTCCAGAGGATTACCAGATTTTTTTGCTAACCCATGTTATTTCTAACAGTTTTGCTTTTTGTGATCTATCTTGTTCAAGGAAGCATATACATGTAAAAACACAGTCAGAAGTGTCATCTGGAATCCAAAGAAACTTAGTTTCACATAAGATACATTTTGGGAATATTATGTATTATCTCTCTGGTATATATGTGTAATAGCTCTCATATATCATGATTTACTAATATTGTTTAAAACTGGGTAAATTTTATCGAGTACTCCTTTTTAAAGGTGCTGTCAGTGCTGAAGCATTCACTGTTGTCCTACAAGCAACCTAAAGTCACGAAGATGTTGAAACTTTACTTCTTGTTTTCTTTGCAATTCCTGGTGAAAGAGGTAGGATTGTACTTTGGCTTTTTCTTCTGTGTGATTACTGCTCTGGCGATTTCTTGACACGCTCAACCAACTGAATTCTTTACAAGCTATATCTCATGGTTAATGGTACTCGCCATTGATATAATTATCAAATAAGGACAGATAAACTTGATCAGTTACTCTTTTTTTTTTAATTATTGTGCTTTAAGTGAAAGTTTACAATTCAAGTTAGTCTCTCATACAAAAATTTATGCATACATTGTTTTGTGACCCTAGTTGCTCTCCCTATACTGTGATAGCACACTCTTCTTTCCCACCCCAGACTTCCCGTGTCCATTCAACCAGTTACTCTTACACCAAATAGTATTTTCCTGGTAAACAACTTAATGTTGCTTATGAATTTAAATGCATAGTAACTTGAATAAAATTAAATATTTAATTTTTGTTTTTAGGGCTATTTAAATCAAAAAGGTAAACCGATGAGGTTTGCAAGACTCGTAGCACGTTTGTGTGGCCATGAACCGTCTAATTTTATCTTTGTGAGTTTTCTTGAGAGAGGTCTTTTCCATAAACTCTGTCAGCCAACCAGGAGAGGTAAGCTTGAGGTTTCTTAAGGTTTTATATAAGTAGTTCAAAAATAGCATATTTGTAAAATAAAAAATGCCTCAGAAATCTTTTTTTTTTTTAAATGAAGAAATACTAAGTAAATGTTCAGATTTACAGATGTCAAAAAAAATTAGATACTGGATATCAACTTTTTTATTTATTCTAATAGAGACCATTTGGGAAATATTTATGTATCATCTAATTAATTAAGAATATTTACAGAATCTAGAGTAGGGAAGTGTATACAGACCAAAGTTTATTTAATGGTTACCAGGAGTGGGCAGGAGGGTGAGGGGAAGGAGGACTCATTGCTTAGGGGACACTGAGCTTCTGTTATGGGTGTTGGAATGTAATAACGGCGTACGGGGAATGTCTGATCTCCTCTAACTTCACAGGGGGAGGGAGAATCAAGATGAACAGCCCAAGGCTGACTCCTATGAGGCGGAGGTCAGACATGCCTCCTCTCTCTACCATCTTTACCCATTCTGACACCCACCATCCCTCCCACAGCACTCTCTACTTCTCTGCTGGGTTCTATAATTTGTTGCAATGGTTACACAGAACTCATAGACAATACTGAACAATTATGGGGCTTATTAGGAAAGTAATTAGTTACAGTTCAGGCTCAGGAATGCTCAGGATATAGTTCTTCCATCAGGACTGCCCCTTCCCAGCTGTGCTTGCAGGCATGCCACTGCCCAAAGACATTCAGCTTTCTCTCTCGGTGGGCTGGGAAGCCCACCATGCTGTCTCTTGCTTCCAGGTCTGTCCTGCTGGGTCTCGCTGCCTTCGGTGTTACAGCTCACTTTCTCTCTGTCTCCTGGTTCTAGGAGCTTCTCAGGGCAGCAATTCCGGGTCCAAAGGGCTTGCTGGCTCCTGGCTGTTCTTCCCTGGTGGTGGTGGGATTCTCTCTTTTCCACCTCTGAGATAGCTCATTTCAATCCCAGCAGGATGGCAGAACTAAACGATCCCTTTGGTGGGCCACAATTACCCTATCATACAGTCGTGCCCAATCACTTGGGTGGGAGTTACAAGACCATGGCTAGAAAGGCCACACAAAAGTGATCTATGACACCACATGGACAAATGTGGAAATGGGTAATGATGATGATTGCACAACATAATGAGCAGAATTAATGTCATTGAATTGTGCATGTGAAGAATGTTGATATGGCAAACGCTATGTTACATGTATATTTATCACAACTAAAATAAAAACTACTTATGGAAAAGAAAAAAAAGAATATTTGCAGAAGAGAAAATGGAGACACATAAAAATTGAGTAACTTTCGTGTGGGCATTCAATTTCAGTAAGTGTTAGAGCCCAGTTAATTCAAAGCAGCGGTTTCCAAAGACTATATAGTGCTCATGTATTATGAAGAGTGGAGAGTAAGTGAAGATGAGCAGCCCCTAGAGTTAGTTTCGGGAAGTATTGGTGAGTAAGGTTTGGAATTTAGTTATGAGCTGGACTTTGAAATGCCCTAAATGCCAGGCCAAGGAAACTGTATTTTATTTATTAGGCATTGAAACACCATCGGGAATTTTTAGGTGGAGGAAAGACATGATCATAGTAATGCTTTGGAAAGATTGATCATCCTCAAGGATGGCCTGAAGCAAGGAAAGTCCAGGACAAGAAACCAGTTCTTAGGCAATCGGGGGGTAGGAACTCAGGTGAGGGTAGCAAGAATGGAAAAGAAGGTACAGAATGTAAAACTGCCTGGATTTACTAGAAAATAAATGTGTACATAGCATAGCAGATAGAGTCGGTTTCTTAGGTATATATTTACTAGAAATATTTGCCTTCCATGAAAGGAAATATAATATAAAAAAATTAATAACAAAATACATGGAATCAACACTTTTTTATAATAATACTCTTTATTTGGATATGGTCAAAAGGATTTCCTCAGAATGTGGTGGAGACTCTGATGTTAGTATTGGCCAATTTGTTTGGAAGAAAATATATTCCAGTGAAATCTCAAGATGCTAATTTCAGATTTACTCAATCAGAGGTAAGATTTATAACACTTATAATTATATAATAAAGATGGTTATTAAATATATACTACTGGAAAAGGTTTGGTAGCTGCAGGGTTGTGTTAATATAAGCTAGTCCATTCATTTTTCTATAATGTTTAGTTGGTCTTCCTATAATCAGTACTCTGTTGAATTTTTAATTCAAGTAGCTTCCTTTACTAATCTAGCAAATGATTACTGTCTTAAGTTTTGCATTTTATTGGAGCAAATTATAGCATTCAGTGACAACAGAAGTAGACAAACAGTCTTTTAAAGAAAACCATGTGTAGCCCCATTGCTAGGTCTATAGTTACATCTGTGGGTCGGAATGCAGGGAAGGAATTTAGATCATGAGCTCAGATGTTCTCTTGAGAAGACGTAGGGGTGGTCACCTAAGAAAGAATCCCCTAACACAAGGGTTATTTAAAAGACTATAAGCAGGAAAATTATTTTCTCCTTCTATTTTCCACATTTTATTTGGTCCTAACTCTTTTTGAAAAATAAACAGACAGAAAGGTCCTACAAAATAAAAACAGAATTATAAACCATGACCAGCTAAGGTGTATCCCAGGAATGCAAGGCTGGTTTAACACCCTAAAATCAATTAATGTGTTACATCATATTCACAGAATAAACAAGAAACAGACATGTGATCATCACACTAGACACAGAAGAGGAATTTGGAAAAAATTCAACACCCATTCATAATTTAAAAAAAAGAAATTCAAAAAACTGGGAATAGAAGGGAATTTCCACAACCTGGTTAAGAACATGTGTGAAAAACTCACAGCTAACATCATGCTTAATGGTGAAAGACAGAATGTTTTCCACCTAAAATCAGGAATAAGACAAGGATGCCTAATCTTACTACTTCTATTCAATATGGCACTGGAGGTTCTAGCCAGGATAAATTAGGTGGGAGGGGGGACGGGAGAAGCCATCCAGATTAGAAACTATATTTGCAAATTACATAATCTTGCATATAGAAATTCTTAAGAAATTCACTTTAAAAAAGCTGTTAGAAATAAGGAGTGAGTTCCGCGAGATTGCAGGATACTAAATCAATATACAAAACTCAATTGTATTTCTGTACACTAGCAATGAGTAACCGAAAAGTGAAATGAATCAAACACTATCATTCAGAGTAGTGCCTAGCAACTGAAATGCTCATCTACTCTTGGTAGGTATTTAAATAGCTAGAACAACAACAACAACAAAAAGTCCTACAAAAACCATGACAAATAAGCAAATTAAAGAAAAACAAAACAAAACAAGAAAACCTCCCTTAGAACGTGAGAATGTAGATAAAGCTACTTTCTATCAGATAACCCTAATGAATAAATGACCAAAAGGGGGTTCTTGCTAATCTGTGCTTTCCAACTCCATAACACTAAAGCACAGAGCTGTTCCACCGCTGATACAGCCCCAGTCCTGCTGGCCTAACTTTAGTACCGGGATAACTCTGTGTCTTCAGACCACTAGAACTATTACTTTTTTTCTTAAATACACCTTGGTTTTAAACTGTTTCAAAAGGAGACTTTATATTCGCTGCTGTAGATGGAACACCAGTGTCCCTGGTCTTAAAAATAAAGTAACCATAGAAATAAATGCAATTAACATGATTCTAAGCTGAGGCTGCTCTCCCTTTGCTATAAAAGAGCTTACCAAGTGTTATGATACAGGCAATCCTCCATTAGACATTCTGGGGTCATCAGAAAGAGCTAAAAAGAATTGGGAAGAGGACAGTTTTTTTATTTTTATTTTTTGAAACTGTTGTAATAATTACCTAATGCTCTCTCTGTGTGACATGCAAAAGTCATCTTATGTACCACTAATGCTAAGTGTCTCACGGTTTTGGAATAACAGCTCTAGATTAGTTCGTTAACAAAGATTCATTGGGCAATCACTATGTGAAAACTGTCATAGAAAAAGCAAAGAGTTCCAAGACATAGTTGCTGCTTTCAAAGAGCTTGCCCTCCAGCTTGGACCAGGTGACATGCTCACAGGAAGACATGGCTCAGAGCCCAAGGGGGTGCATGATAACCCAAGGGTGTGCATGATAAACAGCAGACGTGCCCTAGCACGGTGCCCAGCAGCAGGTACAGTGGGAGGCATATGGAGGGTGGAGCAGTAAATATTTGCAGAATGACTGAATAAGGACCTCGTCACATGGGCCCTACTGCAGAATTGCCCTCCTTGACCTGCTGTTTGCTCTGAATCCATCCACAGATGGTAAGAGTCTCGTAAGCAACAGCCCTATGAAAATCGTCATATTGTCAATTGTAAGGAATTGATTAGGGACGTTATAACCACACAGTGTGCTCTTTCTCAGAATCTCTCTGAGAAGTTCTTATCTGGTGTTAGGCTGAGAAAAAAACAGCTGCTGTGGAGTTGACTCTGAGCCATGGTAGCCCCACATATGTCAGAATAGAACTGCGCTCCATAGGGTTTTCAATGGTTGCTTTTTCAAAGTAGATCACCAGGCCTTTCTTCTGAGGCACCTTTCGGTAGACTCAAGCCTCTAACCTCTCAGTTAGCAGCTGAGCACATTAACCATTTGCACTGTGAATAGGTGTTTATCTCAAGGACATTGTGAAATGTATAACTGATGAGGTTTTCTTTTCACACTTTTGCTGCTGGGAATCTTGGAATATAATGTGTGGCCCATCCTAGACTCTCTTCATTGTTTTCCTTTCTTTTTTTAACCTCATTTTAACTTACTGTATTAAATTCACCCTTATAAAATAACTTCATTCTTGGCAAAGTGCAGGGAATGAGTAAATTAAAGAAAATAACAAACGAATAGTAAAAGTACTAATTGCAATAGAAGAAAACCGAGGACGTTCCTAATGTCACAGCTTTGCGTCCCATGCTATTTAAGCTTACTAAAGAAACTTCTAGTCCTAATTCAGAAAGACTTTGTTTTAATGTATGACATGTGGGAACTGACCCAGTTTGCAATACCAGCTACTTCTCTGCCTGCTACCTATGTGACTTGGACCAAGTTTCCCTCCACCAGGCTTCTTTCCCTCATCTGTAAAATGTGAATGAAAATGCTGATTTCATAGGGTTGCTCTACAGGTTAAGTGAACTAACCTACATGTGTGCTTGGCAAAATGGTGCCGGCATGTAACAAGAGCTCAGTCAGTAACTGAAGTCCACTGTCACTACCCTGGAGCCCTGGTGGCGTAGTGGGTAAGAGCTTGGCTGCTAACCAAAATGTTGGCAGTTCAAATCCACTAGGTGCTCCTTGGAAACTCTATGGGGCAGTTCTACTCTGACCTTTAGGGTCACTGTGAGTCAGAATCGACTTGATTGCAATGTGTTTGGAGCCCTGGTGGTGTGGTGGTTATACGCTCAGTTACTAACTGAAAGGTCAGCCGTTGGAACCTACCAGCCGCTCAGTGGGAGAAAGATGCGGCAGTCTGCTTCTGTAAAGATTTACAGCCTTGGAAACGCTATGGGGCAGTTCTGCTCTGTCCTGTAGGGTCGCTATGAGTCGGAATTGACCCAACAGCAATGGACTACTACCCTAACTTGTTGACTGCTTTCTAAAAATGCCTTTCGCGCAAACTGTGAGAGAAACACGAAGTGAAGATCAGTTTAGGGCATGCGTCTCTCTTCAAATGGCGGTTTTTATTAGGTAGAGTCAAAGCAAATTGTTAGAATGAAAGATATTTGCGTTTATAAATGTTGGCTGAAATGAAAAAGAAATTTTACCTTGAACTCTCAAGTGAATAAGCAGTAACGTTAATGAGGGAATATTAATCTAGAAAATGATGCCGCAACCTTTTCCCAAGCAGTTTAATTCTCTTAATGAAGGTAAAGAGGCCTTTCTGAAAGTCTTTTGCCTGTAGGTGATCCTTGACGAACTCCCGGAGGATTTTAAAGCTGCTTTACAGGAGTATAATTTGAAAGTGGCAAAGGACTTTGCTTCCTTCCTACTGATTTCTTCCAAGCTGGTGAACGTGAGAAACGAATGTCGGCTCCCGTTGTCAAGAATCAGTAAGCGCATTTGAGTTCCACTTTGGGCAACTTAATAAATATCCTTGCCTAACAATGCCTTTGAATCTCGGATGCTTCAAAACCGGTAAAAAGAGCTCATTACAGACAGAGCAACTGTATTAACCTGAGCATTTTATCCTGGAAGAAAAAAGCCCCTCATAGAGTGTGGTAATACCTTTTGCTTCTCAAAGAAAGAAACTTTATAATTACCAAAGATTAACTGCAGAAGGGAGGAACAATTTTGAAAAGTCATTGGCGAGCAGTTTTGAATGAAGGTCGCTTATGTGTTAAGGCTATAAAACGGAACCAGAAACGTGACGGATGAGGGAGAAAATAGGCACGATTTCTGTCCCTCTTTCTCCTGGGAGGCAGGGTGGCCTACTGGTTCAAATACAAACTCTGGAAGCCAAGGCAAATCAAAGAAACAAACACACTGCCGTTGAGTCATTCTGACTCATAGCGACCCTACAGGACAGAGTAGAACTGCCCCATAGGGTTTCCAGGGAGCAGCTGGTGGATTCGAACTGCCGACCTTTCGGTTAGCAGCCAAATGCTTAACCACTGCACCACCAGGGCTCTGGAAGCTGAGTACCAGGATCCAAAACTGGGCTCTGCTACTTATTACCTGTGAGATCTTAAGCCAGCTACTTAGCTTTGTGTGTCTCAGTTTTGTTATCTGTAAAATGATACCTTACAGGATTGCCGGAGGGTTAAGGGAGTGTGGTAATGTTTGCAAAGTACTGTAAACCATGCATGACGTATAGTAAACTCTGTAAGTCTGTTCCATCCGATGTGTTAGTTACCACCCACATGTTGCTACTTAAATTTACATTAATTAAAAGTAAAAAATAAAATAAAAAATTCAATTCTTCAGTCACACTAGCCACATTTCATGTGCTTGATGAAATGCAGCTGCTGGCTTCCACGTTGGACATGGCAGAGACAGAACACTTCTATCACTTTTTCCCGAAGCAAGTTCTGTTGGATAGCGCAGATATCACTGTTGGCTTTTATGGTTATTTTTTATTGTTTAGAAATTATTAGATTAGGAACCCTCTAGGGAAGAATAAATGGAGAGAAGAGCCTAGGATAACAGTAAAGATGGAGCTGTGGGGGAGTAATTCCTCAGTTCCTCTGTATCCTGACTTGTCCTCGATTGGAATAAAAGACAGAGGTGTATTGTAGCTTTCCAGTTGACATAGGAAGCAGCATCAGCAAAAGCAGACAATAATGATGGAGCAAAGAGAACATCACAGAGACAGCATTAGAGTATGTGAATAGCCTGTCTCCATCATAACAAGGAGCCATATGTGAGTGTATGACCTGGTGCTTCACAAGTCCAGTGAGACAGTACCTAGAACATGGATGGAAAACATGTTTCATCTCGTACAGCTTACCTGAACATTGTGTCTAGAAGGATTCTGAGGTTATGTCTGTGTTCCTAGGGACCAAGCTGAGTTAATAACTTTATGTACAATATCTCAATCAGTCTTCATTATGTGGTCTGCCATGGGCAGATGGACGTCAACCACTGTGGTATGGATCTTTAAAACCTAACCTGACCCAATCCATTTTGGTCAGAATTCACAGGTGAAGAATATGAAGACTCCCAACTGGTGTCTAACTTGATGAACTGCAAGGAAGGAAGAGTGGCCATTTCACCATTTGCTTGTCTGTCTGGGAATACAGATGGCAATTTGCTTCAGCCAGAGATTGTCAACCATGTAAGCGGAGAGTCCATCTTATAAATAAAACTTCTTTAAGAGGGAATGGAGTTATACTGCTTTACAACCTAGACAGGACTTTAGACCCCAACACTGAATAGTTTCCTGTCACCCCAACACCAGTGTCCAAGACAGCAAAGCCCTGGAGGCCAGTATGATTTCAATGTCAATGGAGTTGAACTGAGGGACTCTGCCTTTTTTGGAGAATTCCTAGGCACTCTCTTTTTTCTCCCAGATTTTCTGTGGGAGGAACAAATGGAATTATCTCACCTTTTCCCAAAATTGATTATAGACCCTGTAGTGTTGTCACTACTTCAAACCCCATAGACCCTTTGGGACAATGGTCTCCACAGTGGCACACAACGCACTAGAACTCTGGGAGATTCTGGACAAAATATTATGTGTTGGAAGATTTTACAGTTAATCTAAATATATTTAGCTTTAATAATATTTAATAATATAGATTGCTACTTCTGCCTTTACTTGGTTTTATTCCCTGGTCAGATATCACATTTCATGTAAAACAGTGGTCTTCCAATATATTTGCTTAAGTAACATCTAAAAGAATTTGGAAAAATTATGAATCCTCTTACACACTTTGAGTTGATGTCTAAACGTTTTCTAACCAGTGTTTAAAGAGTTGTAATGTTATATTTTCTGGTTCGTTACACATATTGACATTTTGAAATGGAACTGTTATATCATACTTTTAAGTGCATCAATACAGTAGAAATATCAAAATTATTTGACACTCATAAAATCAAATTAAAAAATATGTATATATGATCACACGGCATCTTTAAAGTTACAAATTCTATGTCATTCCATCTTTTACTTGAACTTGTATTTTCCTCCCATTTCTCACAGAGTTTAATTTTACACTCCCACCAACAGTGTATAGGAAATCCTCCTGATTGCATACATTTTATTTGCAAAATATGGCTGGAGCCCTAGAAGCGTAGTTTTTCTGTTCGCTTTGCTCTCTTCCTCTTGCCCCTCTTCCTCCTGCTCCTTCTCCTTTTACCTCTTCCTCTGTTTCTTTCTCTTGGGTAAGTGGGGATCAAAAGGTGGCAGCAACTATTCAGTTGCATCCTGATCTTTGGGCCTTCAGAGACACTAGTCACTTAACACTCCTTCCAAGTTTTTGTCTAGTTCCATCTTCCTTCTACCAGTTAGATTATGATGAAAAGTCTACCTTAAAAGTCAGCTTTAGATTATTTTTGCTCAGTGAATCTTGCTAACAGTATGGCAGTTGGAATTGCCCTCAGTATGCTTTGAAGGTTCCCATTTTCCCAAGTGGGGTAACCTATTCTCAAGGCATGTTTGGTGTGGCACTGCCCACCGTGTGTGAGACACCCCTTTCCCTCACCGTGATGAACCCCTGCTTCCCTTGATCTCTGTAAGAGTCCACTTCTGCCTGCCCCCTGCCACTCCAGTCTCTTCACAATGTGCCTCAAGAAACTGGAGTTCGCCAAAGAAACCATCAACTGTAAGCAATTATCCTTTACAAAGAAATGATGACTTCAGAGAAAATGTATTTTTTCAGGTCGTTCTGCGCACAGTCGGTTCCAGTGTCATGCAGGCTCCTGTGCTGTGGTCACAGAAGATTGATAACCAAGGAAGAAGAATGCCACTTAGTGCTTATGCACTTGACTTCTATAAGCATGGCTCCTTGACAGAATTAACACGAGATACTGGGTAGGTTTGTATGTGGGGTGTATAAGATACATATCTAGCTCTCTCTCTTTTTCTTTCTCCCTCCCTCCCTATCTTATACTCTAATACACTATTTTTATTTATTTATTATTTATATAGTAATAATTTATATTATATATTTAATAAATATAATATTAATCACGTAACACATACTAGATCTCTTTCTAGCAGACTAATCCCTAGTGATTAAAAATGTTAGCATTAATTCGATTTTGGATGTACCACCAAAATCTTGATTCTTGGGCTGGCTCCATTGCACATTACCCTGAAGACAAAAAAAATTTGGCTATACCATAGGGCTCAAAAATACATTTTTATTGGTTATTATATACTATTTATTCATTAAATGGATTATTTAAAGCTTAAATAAAGAATGTATAATTATATCTAGGAGTATATCAAAGGTCATTTATTTGTGTGTGTGTATGAAGTAAATGAATATTTATTTGTTTTGCACAAATGGGACCTGGAGGGAAAACATTCTGGAACTTACTTCTAAGTGAGCAAGTTAACTTGGCAGTTGTCTGTTAGAATGTGACACTTGTTCTCTTCTTTGGTAAGAAAATCATTTTACAAAGCAGTAATTAGGGATGAATACTTGTGGATTCACGTGGAGAGTGGAGACGCTGGTCCTGGAACCTGGTAGGTAGAAACTGGGAGAACCATGTTGTTAAACAGAGCTTCAGGAAATCAAGGTGTATTTATATAAATAAAATAATTCAGATTGAGATTCGTTGGAAGTGTTCCGACGTTCTTGCCAAACCTTGAGCTATGGGTCAGTTTTTCTTATATCTCATTCCTAGTAGCCAGTGAAGTAGAAATGACATTAGTAAGTAAACCTGTTTTTGTCCCCCATTGTAATCTCTTGTCCCCACTCGCTTGTCTAAGCTTTTCTTTTATATTTTGTCACCCCACCCAGACGGTCAACATCTCTATCAATTTATTGTGGTTGGTTGTCACATTTGTGACTCTTAACTTCATTATGATTAATACAACAGAATGATTCATCTACTGGGTGTGTAGAGTACGGTGGTTTCTATTATAAAATTAAAAGGTTTCTAGTACAATCAAACTTGCAAAAGCCAGAAGCTGTGAAGGGTGGAAACCTGTCAGAGAAGCAAAACTCAAATATTTCCCTCTAAAACAAGCAATAGAGAAATGGTAAGACTGCACTCTGTCAAAGGCAGAAAACTTGCCAGACCCAGAAAAACAAGGCAGTCTCGTAGAGTTCCAGCTTTTACAGTTTTCACTGTATAAAGTTAGTTTTGACAGAAAAAATTAAACTATCCTGGACAGACCCCCTACTAACGTATGCGTTAATGAATTTTTTAGTTTGTATATTTTTCAATTAAAAATTTCGGTTTCTTTAGGATGTCTCCTGGAGAACTTTTAAGACTTCTAAAAGATTTTGCATTCTACATCAAAACTATCAGGTATGTTCTAAGCTGACTTTGATTTTCTCAATAATGTAATGGCAGTTGAGCAAACGTTGAGCTCTTCCTGTGTGCCAAGTTGATGATACTCTTGAAGGAGCATGCCCAGAGATACCATTGAGCATCCTAGCTTCTATGCAACTCAGCTTCCTAAGGCTCTGCACGCCCTGCCCTCATAACCTTGTTGAGCTATTTTCTAGATTAAGATTCATCTCAAAGTCCATTTGGAATGAAGTTCCATCCAGACCGGAGCATCAAAGGCACTATCCAAGTCCCGATAAATCCCCAGGCCTAATTATACCCAGCTCTACAAACCCTGAGCATTCACTCTGAGTCAGATAAAGGGGACTCCAGAGGACCACACCATTAGAACTCCATTAGGTCGATAGCATATATCCACTTTATTGCACTGAAATCTCTCTCATACTCAGCATTTTCCACAGGCCCATCTGACTCAAGCATCTCCTACTGGATTCCTGTGCCCATCTGTACAGTGCCCTGTAGGGGTCCCAGCAATTATGAACTCTTTATAGACACGCCCACCCCTAGGCACCATTGATCATCTAGTTTTTGTCTCGTTCCATCTTCTCTGAAACCACTGTCCTTACCCACGTCATACATGAGCAGGTGTGCATGATCTTTCACTTAATTAATTTTAAGGGGAACTTTTATTTGGGGGTCCTTGTTAGTGAGAATATGTTTGTCGTTTTCTTTGGTCAGAGCTGAGTCAGACCGTTTGAGGAACTCTCTACTGGGATTGAGATTCTTAGGCTGACCTTCTAAGGCAGTTGGGAGTTGCCCACCTGGGGTACCTCTCCATAGGGAATTCTTTGAGTGCCTCATAGTTTCAAAGCTGCAATCACCACAGGAACCTGAGAAGTTCCAGAGACTTTTAATATATCTCGAGAGGACCAGAAAAATCATTCATTCACATATTCATTCATTCACTCAACCATAAATGTATAAAGGTATTGCTGTGTTAGAGGGACTCCTCTGTGCACTTCAGATATAAAAAATCATCTCTACTGCAAACCGTCTTGTAGATGGTTATATGCGGTAAGTACTATGATTGAGCTACCCACAGATGACTACGTTAACACAAATTACTGAATGGCTAATGCTACTGGAATAAGAGAAGTCTTTATAGCAGCAATGGGTTTTCAGGCAGACCTTAAAGGGTAAGTAAGAATTCATAAAGTAAATTAAAAAGGAGGTGGTAGGAGAGGATTCCAGGTGGAGGGAGAGTGTGTGTAGGGGTACAGTGATGCTAACATTCCTGATGTGTCAGGGATAGGCCTTAAGCACACTGTAGGTGGAGAGTAGAATAGGGGGATTATGATAAGGGTGGGGCAAGATGTTGATGGTGAGTAAAGAGTCTTTAATTCAAGAGCCAGTTATTGTCTGCTTTGAATTTTTTGTCAATACCATGTGTTTTCATTAATGGAAGCATGCTGGATCATGAAGTGTGTCTGAATTTTTGGTAGGTAGTATGGATTTTTTTTTTATTACCCACCCCCACCACAAGCCTACCCACAGAGTTCAGTGGGACAATTCTACCACCCAGAGTCTCAGAGTCCCACTGGAGTCCAGTGGGACATACGTGTCCCAAGTAAAGTTTTTCTATTTTTCCTACCACAATTTAGACGCCTCATATGATACCCTGTGAAAACAGTAACTTGCGGCACAAGCCTGTTCCTTCAGTTTCAAACTGTTATGCAGGCCCTCTCCTAATGGCTGCATGTGCTGTCAGTAGGAAAGCAACTTCCCAAGAAACTTGAGAGACAGAAAATGTGGGTAGGCAACCGTATATCCCCCCAGTCATGAAAGGGTTAAAGGGAAATTTCGCTCTACCTGGGAAGGGTCTTAATCGTTACATCACGGTGTTTGGATTTAAAGTTGTAAGCAGTGGTGAGACAGGAAGTTTCTAAGGATGAGTGTGACATAGATCTATGTTTTAGAGATATTACTCCGGCAGGTATGTAGATTGACTCGATAGAGAAGCTGAAGGCAGGGAGCTAAATTGGGGTGTGGGGAGACCATAATCGAAGGCAGACAGAATGAAAGCTTGAATTAAGGCAGCACCAGTGGGGATGGGTGGAGGGTATTAGAGAAATATTTAAGAAGCAGAATCCATGCAAGTGGGGCAAGAGGTACTAATGGTAACTAAAGTTTCTCATTTGGTTAATGATAACATTCTCAAAAATAGGGAACACAGGAAGATGATGGTTTGGAAATTGGCCACACAAATTTGCAAGTTGGAATTTAAAAGTATTGTAGTGGTATCTCTGGGACATTTCAGGGGAAAACGTCCAGTAGTCAGAAGTACAGGTATGCAGCTCAGGAGGAACGTCAGATATGGGGATAAAGATGTGATCGTTTCTAGCATTCAGATTTAAGGACTGGGAAAAAACCAAAACTGGTGTAAATAAGATGGGGTGTGATAACAAAAAAGGTGACAAAATGTCAACTCACAATTGCTTTCGAAGCCTGAATAACATGTCAGATAGCTGAGAGAGCCACTCTTGGAATCTCTTTCCTCGGTTTCACCCCCGCTTCCTGGTTCCTAAGTTATATGGGTAAGGACAGAAGTTTCTTTCACTTATTTGGTGACTGTGGGTTTCAAAAAGAATGGTCACCATAGTGGAAAAGCCAGAAGATGGCTCCAAGGAGATTCGTGGAGAAAGGAAAAGGAGTTGAATAACTGCTGCTAGGTGCTTGGGACATGGAATTCGGTTATTTTTCAAACTTACAGGGTGAGTTTAGAGGTAAGATGGTTAACTGTATGAGGAGGCATCTCTATCTTTTCTCAAACTCTTTATCACGTATTTTGTAAAGATTTTATAAGGTAAATGCACATCTTATTATCGTTACACGTATTTTCTCTATGTATATACATCAAGTGGATCTTTGGGTAAAATAATCACTTCTGCCAACATGGAGAAAGCCTTTTTTGTAATATCAATTGTTACCAACCTGTGGGCTTTTTTTATTTTCTATTCTACAGTTATTCTTTGAGTGAACTATGTGAAAATAAGGATGACAATGTTGTCTTGGCATTTAGACAACTGAGTCAAATCTTCTATGAAAAACTTCAAAAAGTCCAAAACTGAAATGCATCCACATCCTTGGAATATTGCTGCAAGAGTGTTTCAAGTCCGATTATGTGGTTTTCATCCCTTTGCCAGAAATGCATTTGAGCCGATGCAATGAAATGGAAAGAAGAATCGTCTTGGAGTCAAATAGAATTGGACTCAGATACTAACTCTGCCATGTCTTAGCTGGATGACCTTAGTTTCCTTTCAGTAAAGTGAGAGTGGAAATACATACCTCTGGTTGTTTTAAGGATTAAGTGAAGTAATGCATGAAAAGGCACTGGAATAAAGCACTGACTATTTTTTTGTCGCTAAAGTTAATGCAAAGCAGAATTTTAATTTCACATTGTCAAGTTTTTGAGTATGTTTCTAACCTATTGATCTTTCCATGAGTGATCCATAAAACAAAAAGGACCAAATTAATTTCAAGCAATAAATTAGTTGTGTAAAAAGAACTTCTGAGACTACAAGACAGCCACGTAGAAGAGTTACAAACTACTCTCCTAATGATAGAACATACTGATTCAACAACTTTTTAAAAATAGCTGTGAGAGATTTTGAGTCTCCCGCACTTTGTTTTTCCCAAATGATCAACAGTACATTTTTCTATTTCCTGGCAGTGATTAAGGATGATGATATATGCAACTGAAGGAGTCCCTGGGAAGTACAAACAATTAATGCACTCAGCTGCTAACTGAAAGGTTGTAGGTTTGAGTCCACCCAGAGGCGCCTTGGAAGAAAGGCCTCACGACCTACTTCAGAAAAATCAGCCATTGAAAACTCTACGGAGCACAGTTCTACTCCGACACACACAGGGCCGCCATGAGTCAGAATCAACTTGACAGCGACTTGTTTACGTGACTGAAAAAAAAAAAAAATCACTCTGTGGAGCTGAGACAAGTATTAAATTTAGAGTATTTTCCTCCTCACTGTCATACTTGAGAAACAAATCGAAAGAAAAAAAAAATAACAAAATTTAAGGACTATTAAGGCTCTAATAAATGAATATAGTACTCTGAAGAGAGAAAAAACAATCTTCTCTCCAATGAATCTATCCAGCAGTGGATTTAGCAATTAGGGAATATGAGTCTGAAAACTATTAAAATAGTTTCAGCTAGCAAATGGCAAGTAATTTTTTTTTTAATGGAAATGTGTTCTTTGTATAAGATGCTTTAAGAAAACAATTAGCTCATGATTTGGTATTATTGCACCTGTGTAAGTAAGTGACTGGACAACAATAAAGAAATAAAGAGTTTTAATACGTTTACCATTGTCTCTTTGTGCTAAACCTGTTTGTCATTCAGTCGGTTAGATTAGATATTGGGCTTTCACCGTTTCCTCTCTGGCCCGCAGCCTCAGCTTGCAGATTGCAAAACCTGTCCTAGGCCCAGAGCACCTCATTCTCAGGGCGAAAGGCCTAACCTATCTATCATCCAGAAGGCTTCACCGAGATACCCTCTCCGGTATGAAATTACTTAGATATATTACGTGGGCTCAGAAAAGCGCCAGCATGTCACTTTGTCTAGAAATGGAAAACTCGCTTTTCATTAAAACTGACTCATAATTTGCTTGTATTAGGCATGGGCCACAATCAGGCGTGACTCTTTGAGCTGATCTTAAATTTTTATTTTAAAGTAAACGTGAAGACTGCAGTTTTAGAAAAACAAAGGCGTCTGCAGACCCTAAGGATTTCCGTTGTCTCCTTTTCTATTCAAAATACTCTTCGTACGTCAGAACATTAGTTTTCACCGTCCACTTGTAGTTCCAGGTCTCTGGTTGGGAGATGAAACCTTTTATCTTTTTTCAGATGACTGAGCCAATCTGGAGCCCTTCTATTTTGGAAGGATAATAGAGGGTGTTGGCTGCGACCTGGTATCTGTTCAAAGAAGGGAGATATTCCTAACCTTTTTCAAAGACTCTCCTTGGGTAGATATTATTGGCAGTGATGATGCTCAATCCTAATCACATTGGTTCATTTGAGGGCCTAATAGGCAGTCCCTCTCTGTTTGTTTTCTTCCTTCCTTCCTTCCTTTCTTTCTCTCACTTTTTTCCTTTCTTTTCTTTTTCCTCCTTCCCTCCCTCCCTTCTTCCTCTCTCTCTCTTTCTTTCCAGGAATATTAAAAAGCAACCTGGCACAGTGACTTCAACAGAACTCTGATAGCCTTTCATGTTTCATTTATTATAATAATGTGAAATTTCTCTTTCAATGAGTTGCTTCCCTAAAATTTTTTGGGCATGGAAATACTGAATGGAGATGGTATTTCTCGGGTGGGTAAAGCAGTAAGCTATAAAGCTCTCTGCTTTGGATCAGAGAAGCAGAGTTGGCTGGTTGGCACAAAGAGGAAAAGAGTGAAACGTTTGCCTGCTGAGAAGCAATAATAAAAGCCAGAAAGACAGCGTGGGTGACACGTAAGTCCCTAGTTCATTCTTCCCGTCATAAACGTATATTGAACACCTACTATGTGTCAGACACTGATCTAAAATCTGGAGATAAATCAGTAATTAAGATAGCAAAAAAATTCTTGCTCTTAAGCAGTTTGCATTCTACGGGATAGGCAGATAATGAACACATAAGTATATATATATATATAAAAACCTCGTTGCCATTGAGTCAATTCTATAGCGTTTTCTTGGTTGTAATCTTTATGGAAGCAGATCACCAGGACTTTCTTCCATGGTGCATAGATGATATAATTTTATATAATAATAGATTCTATGACAAAATAGAGAGTGACGTAGAAAGTAGGGGGAGGAAATAAGCCACACAAGGCTTTGGTAAAAGAAATTTCCAAGCAGAAGCAACAGCAGTTCAATGCTCTGAGGAGAGATTGAACTTGTGTTCAAGAGATAGTGAGAGGGCCAGCATGTGGAGGGATAGCAGGGCGGAGGGGTCACATAATGTGGGGCCTTATGGACTGTGGATTTGAAATATTAAAACCATACCATTTTGGCCATGATATTGACATGATCTGATTTGCATTTATAAATAGTGTTTCTGGTGACTGGGAGGATATACAGAAGGAGGAGGTACGAGGAGAAGCCTGCTGTTATGATAGTCATGAAGCTTGGATTGGATTGGATAGAGCTGGAAGGGGAAAACTGCTCAAATTCAAGCAAAACTGAAAGAACAGATGGGCCATATAAGTAATACGGGGTTAAGAGAGGAATCACGGATAACCTTAAGGATTTTGACTCGTGTTCAAGTGAGCACTGTTTAGTAAGATGGAGAAGAGCAGCTGTGGGGGTGTGAGGGACCAAGAGTTGTATTTTACACTCGCTTAGTTAGAGAACCCTAAAGATGAGGGCTTGAGATATAACTATGGGAGTGTCTTAGTTATCTAGTGGTACTATAACAGAAATACCATAAGTGGCTGGCTTTAAGAAAGAGAAATTTAATATCTCACAGTCTAGTAGGTTAGAAGTCCAAATTCAGGGCATCAGCTCCAGAGGAAGGCTTTCTCTGTTGGCAGGTCCTTGTCATCAATCTCCCCCTGGACTAGGAGCTTCTCAGCACAGGGACCCCGGGTCCAAAGGATGCGCTCTGTTCCCGGTGCTTTCTTGGTGGTATGAAGTCCGTCACTCTCTGCTTGCTTCCCTTTCCTTTTATTTCTTGTAAGATAAAAGGTGGTGCAGTCCATACCCCAGGGAAATTCCCTTTACATTGGATCAGGGATGTGACCTTAGTCAGGGTGTTACAATCCCACCCTAATCTTCTTAACGTAATCTAATCTTGCCTCATTAACCACAGATGGAGATTAGGATTTACAACACATAGGAAAATTACAATCACAAAATGGAAGACAACCACACAATACTGGGAATCATGGCCTAACCAAGTTGACACTTATTTTTGGGGGACACAATTCAATCCATGACACTTCACCCTTTGGCCCCCCAAAATTCACGTCCTTGCCACATGTAAAACACATTCACCCCATCATATCATAGCAAAAGTCTTAACTCCAAGTCCAAAATCCAAAAATTCCTCTTCATCTGTGAAATCTAGAATACAAGTTATCTGCTTCCAAAGTACAGTGGTGGAACAGGCACAAGCTAGGCATTTCCATTCCAAATGGGAGAAACTGGAGGGAAAGAAGGGATAACAGGCACCAAGCAAGTCAGCAGAACACATTACATTAGCCCTCAAGGCTTGAAAAATAATCCTCTGTTCTCCGAGACCATGCACACAATGGCCCTGCCCTCCAGACTCTAGGTATTGGCCACACTCCGCAGATTCTGAGTGGAGGCCCCTCGGCCCTGGGCTTCAGCTCTGCCTTCCAGGCCCACTGGGATGTCAACTTTGCTCAGCTTTAGGTACACCGTTCTCCTAGTCCATCTGAGTGATGACTTCACCCTTAGAAACACCAGAGGCCATGGCTCCACCTTTTGAAACCCTAGAGGTCATGGCCATACGTTTTGAGACTGAGGCAGCTTGGCTTCTTATGTCCCTTGTCTCTTCAGCTTCTGCTTCCTGGTTCCTTGGCCACTCGGCCTCGAGCCTCACACCCCATCTGCCCTGCTGGGGCAAGTGTTCCAACGCTCTGTAGCTCCACCAATAACTGCCTGGAGGCACCGCACTCTGCCAGTAAACTTCAGCTGGAAGGCACTCACCTCTCTTGCTCCCTGGGTCGTCAAGCCTATCTCTACCAACAAGTGCCCAGAGGCACCCTGCTTCACCAGGAAGCCTCCTGCACACGGGCACTCAGTCACTCACTCCGTGGGTCGGCTCTAGCACTGACTGGCCCTGGTCTCCTGGCTCTGCTGCTTCCAGTCCTCTGCTGCCGGTTCTCATCATCTGCATTGTCTCCAGTGTTAACCGTTCTCCTCACTTCCTCCTGAGTCCTCTATCCATTCACAGTTTCAAAACTACTTCCACATTTTAGGTATCTGTTAGAGCAGCACCCCACTCTCAGTAAACAAATTCTGTCTTAGTTATCTAGTGCTGCTCTAACAGAAATACCACAACTGGATGCCTTTAGCAGAGAGAAATTTATTTTCTCACAGTCTAGTAGGCTAGAAGTTCAAATTCAGGGTGTTAGCTCCAAGGGAAGGCTTTCTCTCTCTGTTGGCTCTGGAGGAAGTTCCCTGTCATCAATCTTCCCCTGGACTAGGACCTTCTCCACGCAGGAACCTCAGGTTCAAAGGACACGCTCTGCTCCCAGTGCTGCTTTCTTGGTGATATGAGGTCCCCCACTCTCTGCTCACTTCCCTTTCCTTTTATTTCTTGTAAGACAAAAGGTGGTGCAGGCCACACCCCAGGGAAACTCCGTTTACATTGGATCAAGGATGTGACCTTAGTAAGGGTGTTACAATCTCACCCTAATCCTTTGAAACATAATCTAATCTTGCCTCATTAACCACAGGCAGAGATTAGGATTTACAATACATAGGAAAATTACAATTACAAAATGGAGGACAACCACACAATACTGGGAATCATGGCCTAACCAAGTTGACACATATGTTTGGGGGACACCATTCAATCCATGACAGGGAGTTATTAGCATTCAAATATAATATAAAGCCATGGGAGTGAATGGGATTTCTGAGAGTGAGTGTAAATGGAGGAGAGATGACACTTGGTTCAGTCCAATATTTAAAATGTAGAAATCAGGGGAGAAGGTAGAAAAGGAGACTGGGAAGGAGTGGCCAGTGAGGTAAGAGAAAAACAAGGAGACCGTGGTATCCTGTAAGTCAAGTGTCGCACATGTAGAAAGTGTTTCAAAAAGGAGGGAGTCATCAACTATGTAGACGTTTGAGTATAATGAG